CTCCGAGCAGGCTGGTGTACCTGGAGCCTGGGGAACAACTTGTGTCCTCCCCCCTCCAGGAAAACCTTTCATGCCCTGCAAACAGAAGGGACTGGCCGGGAGCTCGGGCGAGGTTGGCTGAGCTGGTGGACAGCGTGACCAGTGGGGTGAAGCTTGTTGGCTGAGTATGAAGCATCAGTTCTGTGTTAGGAGTTGTGAGGAGCTTGTTCTCATGCCTGCAGTGTGTAGTGTGGGGGTCCAGGGGGGGACCTGCCCCTCTCTCGGGAGCAGAGAAGGCAGAGCCTGGTCAGAGGAGGGGCAGGAGTTGAGGCAGGTCCTTGTACAAGCCCTCAGCTGGCTCTGGGGCTGTCTGCAACCAGCATTAGGGACACAGTTCATCCTCCAGGACCACAGGCAGTTCCAGGGGAAGGCAGGAGGAATGCCAAGGGACAAGAAATGCTGCCTGCCTGAGATGCCATCAGCATCCTCATCTCCGGGGTCCTGGGAAGCCCAGCCCTTTGGCTGGGAATGGGAGCCACAGAGTCTCAGAGAGGCTCTCATTGCCCTTCCCTTGCAGAGCTGACAGACATTGTGCATCAGCCAGAGGCTTTCTCTGAGCAGAGATGTGCCCAAAATACCCAGCAAGGATTTTTGGATGGAGTTCTTTCCATCTGCTGTTGCTACGATTTGTTCTTTCACCACCTAATTCCTCCCCCCTGTTTTTTTGGAGGCTTTCCTTTTCACTGCTGGCTCCTTGGGCACATCTTCCTGTGCTCTCTGGGCGCTGTCTCTCTCCCCCTCTTACCCACCCCCCAGCCTTGCATCCCCCTCTCTGCTCTGAATATTGTGATTTTCTGATTTTTGCACTGTAGGGATCCTCAGCAGATCCCAGCTGGCTGAATGTTATGCAGAGCAAAGGCCAAAGATCTTGACCCGATTTTAACTAATTTGGTTTTAGCACCAGTTTGGATTTTGAGGGAGCGATTTCCCCGGGCAGCACAAACCAGGCCCATCTCCCTGTGTCCAGGCCTCGTTGCTGCCCTAGAAGGGCAGCTCCAGTGCATGTCTTTTCCTGCCTGGAAATCCCAAACACCATTTTTAGAAAGCCCTTTCATTTTATTTATTTTCCCTTCCTGGCACAGTGTCTGGGGATGGCAGAGCAGCGAGGAGCTGTGTGCTGCCTGCCTATTACCTCGGGTTTAAAGTGTCTCTTCCTATCAAATGCAGAGCAGGAGAAAGCAGAGCTTTCATGCATTCTTTTTTTTTTTTTCCCCTTCTTCCATCCGTTCTAAATTTATTTCCATGCCTTGCCGGTTTCAATCTGCATTTTCTGACCCTCTCACATCTCCAGTCACAGCCTGTGCTCCGAGCCTTCCCTCGGAGCTTGGATTGAAGTCAGGGGGGAGCACTGCTCTGGGCTGGGGAGGATATGATGGGGTTAAAGTGAAAGGCTTGGTTTTAACAGTATAATGTGTAACCCCATAATGACTTTAAATATTGATTATTTGAAGGCCATTAGTGCTTATTGTTAAAGAAAAGTCAATACTTTTTAAGCCTTGTGAACCATTTGTCTCCTGTTAAAGGACATATCAAATTTAGCAGCATGCAGTGCAAATCCCCTAATACCCTGCTCACAAGCCTCCAGCTGGCATATTAGGGGGGGAAAAAAGAAAAGAGGGTGGGGGGAGGAATATGCAGTAACACAGAACTGCTCTCTGCAAGGTAAGGACAAGGCTTATCAGATGTAATTGCCAGGGGCTAAATTCAGGTTCTCAGAATATGGGGCTGTAATTCTGCCCTTTGAGTGGTGGAGGAAGAGGAGGAAGGAATTTAATGGGGGGGTTGAAGGCCGGTACATACCTGGGAAAGGATGCAAGGAATTAGTGTTGTGCTGCATGTCTGTCTAAAAGCACAGCAGCCTTTGTTAAAGTCTCTGGGGCTTTTTACTCCGGGGTTGCCAGTTCTTTTCCAAGCTGGCTTGGAAGCAATTGGCTGTATCTGCACCAGGCAGCCTGGGAGGGCTTCCCAGCTCCGTGCCAGGACACGACCTGGTGGTACTGCCTCCCTCCTGTGCCAGGTTTCCATGCCAAATACCAGGCAGATGGGCTGGGAGGGAGCAGTGGCAGGCTCCAACAGGTTCTGTGTCCAGAGGGTTGGGTTTGTGGGATGGCAGGAAGCGTCTGTCCACGGTCTCACACCGTGGTGAGATGCTCCTCAGGGCTCTGCAGCAGGAGCTGTGGAGCATCAGGATGCCTGCAGGGAGAAGAGTCCCTCATTCCCTAAATATTTATGAGCGTGCCTGCTCGCTTTTTGAGTTCTCTGCTGCTGGGGATTGATGCTGAGTGTCAGGGGGACAGCAGGAGGGGTGCAATGACCCCTTCGTGTTGGGCCATCTGCAGCCTCCCTTCTCTGACTTCAGGCCAGGCTCCAGGGGTGTGGTGTGGGACCTCCGGCTGCTCCTGTCCCTTTGGCCTCACCAGCAGTGCTTCCCTGTGTGTGTGTTTGGTGGGGGAGCTCCAGGGCTGCTGAGAGGACAGCGCCGGGGTCTCCTCGTGCTGCTGTGTCAGGCAGGCACGGTGACAGCGTGTGTGAATGCGCCTCCCTGAATTTTCCAAGCCTTTGGACTCATCCCCAGCGTGTGTTGGCGTGTGTGGAACAGAGGCAGCACCTGACTTCTCAGTCTGAAGCCGCTCCTGCTGTGCTCAGCCCTGTTCCTGCCGCTGGGATTGGGGCCGGGAGCTTTGTCCCTTTGCTGCATCCCCTTTCCCAGCCAGGCCCCCCTCACTGGCCAGCCCAAACCAGGAGCTGATCCCGGGCCCCAGAATGCAGGGATGCTCCGAGGAGAGGACAGAGGGAACGATCTTGAGCAGATGTGAATTCCTTAGGGATCAAAGTTATGCCCATTAGCACAACATTAAAGCATAAAAATAACCTGATAAACACCAGGCTGCCGCCCGAAGGGAGAACCTTCTATTTTCCAGTGTCCTGTCCTTATCCCCATCAAACACTCCGCTTTCCTGGGCACAGATTCTGTGTTCTTGGCCAAAATCAAGAAGCTCCTTTGTTTTTAGGGTCCCCTTCAGGCTGCCACCACCTGGGGCTTCGGGACCCTCCTGCAGGATCCCCCTTTCCCACACTATGGACGAGGCGAGGCTTGCTCGCCCGGCCACGGAACGGTTAAAAAAAAAAAAAAAAAAGGCGACTTGATTTCCCTAAATTGCTTCTTATAAAACGAACGGCACGTCTGCCCGGGCTCGTCTCCCCGTGATTACAGCTAATTACGATCGAGCGGACACCTCGGAGCCCCCGTCACGCCGCTTTAATTGTCCGTTATTCATCTGCGGGCTGTCCGGGGTGGCAAAAGCACTTGGCAGCCGCGGCGACCGGGGGGCCTCGGCTAATTGTGAGGCCTCGGGGATTAGGGCAGGTGATTACACACTTCATGGTGTAATTACATAAGCATCGCTTGGCTGCTGCCCCGGCTCGGAGCCGAAGGTCACGCGCTGCGTTACCTGAGATTAATTGGAGCTGCCAGCGGAGTGCGAGGTGCTGGCGGAGCGGTTATACGATTAGCATTAACATTTCAACAGCGACCGATCGATCCGTGGCTCTCCTCCAGACACAGCGAGCTGTGCAATTAGTTTAGAGGAGAGCTAGGGGAGGGAAGGAGGAGGAGGAGGAGGAGGAGGGAAGGAGAGCCGCGGAGGCAACCAGGGGAAGGGAGAAGAGGGATGCAGAAGATGGGGTGAGCGAGGAGGAGGAATTTTGGAGGGGGGATCTCAGCCGTGGATGAGCATTTTGTAGTGGCTGGTGCGTAGAGTGGGGATAAAACCACACTAGGAAGATCTCTGCTTGCCCACCTCGCCCCCAAAGAGTCCTTATCTGGTTTTTCACGGTGTTAATTCCTCCCCCCCCCCCCCAAACCGCATGGGACAGCTGGGGGTCCTCCTCCCGCCCTCCCGTGTCATCCCCCCCTCTGAAATGGGCAGCGTGGTAGTGCGTATGGTCTGTTTGATGCAAAGTCACAGGCACCTTCTGGCCCCCTTTCTCGTGCCCTCCAGTCTCTCCCGAAGCAGATTTTACAGGGAGATACCGTAAAATGAAAATAAACGGCACAGCACTTGGCTTTGCCTCTGGATGCCCTGGTGAAGGTAATAATGTTGTAAGTGGCCATCAAAAGGAATTAAGAGACGTGCAGCCGGAAAGCAGATTTGCTTGCAGGCTCCCAGGGCAGATTTGACTAATGGAAGAGACCTTGGCTCTTACTCCCTTCCTGCCTGGTTTTTTTTTCTTTTTTTTTTTTTACCTTTCCCCCCTGCTGCAAGCAAGTGCTACCTGCCTTGCTTCCAGGCATTGTCCCCTTCCCACCACTCAAACCTGCCTCCTCCAGCTGACTTACCACCTGGCATCTGCTCTGCCCATTCTGTCCAGCATCACCCACCCCTTCTCCAGCAGGACACCTTCCCCCTGGCCCCGTGGCACTTTCACATCCCTCTCTCCATCTCTCCTGTCTGTCTTTCTCTGCCTGACTCCCAGCTCTTCTCTCCAGAATTAAAGACCACCCCTTGTCCCAGCTAGGACAGGGATTTTCTGCAGGGTGTGCTGGTGTTTCCTACAGATTTTTCTGGAACCCCTCTCCAGCTCCCAAAACACAAAATACCTTTTTAGTTGTCGGTAGATGAGATAGAAACCCAAGCTTGATAAAGGGAGAGGCAGATGCAGAATCTGCAGCCGTGCCTTTGCTAGCCCTGGGCAGCCAAAATCCCTTTCAGCCCAGCTGAAAGGCCACAGAGGCAAAGGTGGGAAGTATGTGTGAGCTGTGGAGTCCTGTCTGCTTTCTTCCCCTTTTGATTCTGCTTCTTTTGGTTTCTTTCTCTGCATTTTAGAAGCTGTGTGTATCAGAATTAGCCTCTGGCTCAGAATGCAGGTCACCTGCAGCCAGGATGTTCCTTCCTGAGCCAGGGCCCTTTTGGATGGAGCCTCCAGGTTTTCAACGTGAACTTATTTTCTGATTTCCGCAGGGAGATCTCCCACCCACCGCCTCTGCTCTCGCCCCAGAACGCTCCCCACATTGCCCTGGGGCCCCACTTGAGACCTCCCTTCCTCGGGGTGCCTTCGGCGCTGTGCCAGACGCCAGGTGAGTGCACAGGTAATGCTTGTGGGCAGCCAGGGCGGGCTGAGACAAACTGTCCTCCACCCAAACAGCCCAGACACACTTTCTGTGTCTCCCCCTGACTGCTGTGCTGACTTCACCCTGGTTTTGCAGCAATAGCAGCAGTTGCCTTGGCTACTCTTTCCTTTAGTCCCCACCAGCCTCCCTGGTGTTTCAACCCGTGGGCTCTAGAGCAGAAAGCAGCACTCAGTTGCCCTTTTCTTTCTGAGCTAGCCCTCTGGAGAGCTGAGGTAGCAAAGAGTCAGTGCTGAGATGAGTGAGCCCACGGTGCTGTTCTCCCTGTCCCCAGGTTACGGGTTCCTCCAGCCAGCACAAGCAGAGATGTTTGCACGGCAGCAGGAGATGCTACGAAAGCAAAACCTGGCCAGGTAAGAGTGGGAGAGGGATGGATTTTTCCTTCCCTTTTCCAGCAGCAGCAGGCAGAGTAAGGTGGGGTGCTGTGTGGGGTGAGCTGTGCCCAGGTGACAGAGCAGTGTCCAACTGAGACCAGTGGAAACAGTGTGTGGGTGTGGAGGGAACACTTTGATGAGTACAAATCCCACCCGTGCGACTGGAGCACAGATAAAGTGGGACTGACACACAAAATCCTCCCAGAAGGAAGAAAAGGCATGTTCATCCCTGTGTTTTTGGATCTTGTCCCATGGAATGCACCATTAATGTCATAAGGCAAACCCAAATATTCTCTTCACAAATAAGATTGGCAGCATCACGTTATTTAACATGACGTTAAGCCCAACCCAAGACATGAAAGTAGCAAGTCCTAATACAGGTCATTGCTGCACTGTGATGATCCCACATTGTAGAGGAAAGTCCAAGCAGAAAATCTGGCGCTCTGTGACAGGACATTTAAAAATAACTCCATTTGGAAAGGGATCTGGTTTGGAATATTTTCGCACTTACTGCACATTTGTTCACTAGATCAGAACCTGCAGTGGAGGGAGGAAAAATTACCAGAAGAAAATTCACACAGTCACAAGAATGTTAATATTTGCTCTGAAAGATCCCCTAGCCCTGTCCCGAACCGCTCCGCTGCCCACCCCACCTGCACTGTGGTTTTCTTAGCACTGAGGGCACCCTTAAATGACGTGGCTGAGGCGAACCACCAAGGTGGCCCAGCGAGGACGGGGGTAGTCACTGCCAACATTCCCTCTGCCTCTCCCCACCCAGGCTGGAGATGTCGGCCGAGATCATCCGCCAGAAGGAGCTGGAGAACCTCCACCGCCAGAGGCTGCTGGCCGGCGACCCCCTGAGCCTGCACCCGGGGCTGCCCCCGGACCACCCGGCCCTGCGCAACGTGCACGACATCCCCGAGGGCCACCCGCTGCGGGAGGAGCTGTCCCGGCGGAACGCCATGCTGGTGCTGCGGCACAACACACCCCGCTGCTGTCCCTCACCCGCCGTGCCCCGCCAGCTCCTCCACGCCGCCAAGGAGCAGCCCCGGCGGGGCAGCCGGAAAAGCCGCGGGGCAGCAGCGCGCCGAGCCGAGGGCCTGGCGATGCCAAGAGCCGCGAGCCGCGGGGCGCGGGAGGGCCCCGGACTGTAACGACGAAGGAGATGAAGGACTCGGGAGAGCGACGCGGACGTGAGCGACGAGAAGCCCGAGAGCCTGACGGGGGGGCGGCGGCTCGGCCGCGGAGCTCAAGGAGTGCAAGGAGGCGGGCAAGGCGTGCGAGGGGGCCAAGGAGATGGGCGAGGCGGGCGCTGCCCAGAATGCCCCCTGCAGCTCCTCGAGCGCAGAGTCCCCCAGCCACCTGCTTGGCCCAGGCATCAACAAGGCCGAGGTGAAGTACCTCCCGCCGGCCTCCATCCCGCCGCCTCAGCCGCTGCCCTTCGGGTTCCCCTACACCATGAGCCCCTACTTCCATGCAGGTGAGTGCACGAGGGGACGTGTTTTGTGGTGCTAAAAGCGGGGCTCTTCTACCCCCCTTTCATTCCGCAGTGTGGTTGCGGTTGCTTTCTCAACTTTCCGTCGTTTTTTTTCAAAAGGAAAATTTTTTTTCCCCTGTTAAATGTTGGAATGGGATGTCCAGGGAGGTGGTGGGAGTGCCCATCCTTGAAGGTGTTCAAGGAACATGGCACTCAGCGCTCTGGTCTGGTTGAAAAGGTAGGGGATTGGTCAGAGGTTGGACTTGATGGTCTTGGAGGTCTTCTCCAACCTCAGTGATTCTGTGTTTCTCTGCAAGGAACCAAAAGCCTTCTTTTAATTAATATGAAGGACTCCGTTTGCAGTGAAGCAAATCAAGGGCCATAAAGAGGGGCCAACAGGGACAGAGTGAGTCCCGAGCACATGAGAAGGGAAATCCCCAAAATGATGGCCTGAGGGATCTTGCAGTTGCTTGGGCCTCCTTTGGCACCTTGGACAGACACCAGTAAATTACAGAGAGCTTCAGGGAGAGGCAGCAACAGTTATTAATGGCTGCAGGGTGCTGTCAGAGTAACCACTGCTGTGCCCCTTTTCCAGGGCACAGGTGGATGGGTTCTTTCCCCTGCCTGTGGTGTATTACTCCGTGTCACAGGCACTGGGACAGCTGGATTGGTGCCTGTTGGGTGGGACAGGCAGGCAGGGAAGTCACTGCGGTCCCCAGTGGCACAGTCCCTCGGGCAGCAAAGGCACGGCTGGAGCAGGATGGTACAAAGTGGGGTCTCAAAGCCTGGTAGCTGGGCAGGGCAGGGCAGGGTGGCAGCCCCGCCAGCCTAGCCAGGAGCCAAAATCTACCTCAGCTAATTACTTGAGTGAGCGATTAGCAGGCGGTGGGACCTCCTGCCTCACGGAGGAGGGAGAGAGGGGGGGACGTGGCATGTGGGTCGCTGAGGCTGCCCGAGCAGCCGTGGCTGCCCATCACTCATTAGAGCTGCCTCCCAACCAGGAGGGAGGAAGCGATTTTTCCTGTGACAGGCAGGTGGCCAAGATGATAAATATTCCTGCTGCCTTGGGCTGCTGAGGCTTCCTCGCAGGAGCCTTTTTCTCCCGGCCATTAAAAAGGGGAAAGGCGCAGCTCCGCGCTGCTCGTGGCTTGTGCGAGGCTCTGCAGGGAGGCCTGGGATGTGGATGGGTTTCCTCCCTCCCCCAGCAATGTGTGAGTTACTGTAATAGGCCATTTATTATTATCACTTCGAATTTATATCACCATCGTGTCTTGGGGCCCCGGCACAGATCAGGGCTGTGTTTCACTGCCCGGTTTTCAGGCAGTTCTGATTTGTGGAGCCTGTTCCAGGGCTGTAGGTCTTTTCCTGAGGGCTCTTTGGCTTCTGGCTGGCTTCACACGGTGCTGGGGCTGTTAATCCTGCCTGCCTGTGGGGTTTAGGCCCCGTTGTGCTCAGCTCCATAGCAAAACCTCTCACCTGAAAAGCCTTGGGAAGACAGGGCGTCTTGTTCGATGCAGCACCACGGGTCGATGGGGGAGCTGGGAGTCCAGCAACTGAAATATTGAGGGTTTGTATCGATCCAAGAGCTGCAGCGATCCTGGGCCGTGCTGGGGTAACGTGTGTTGGTGGAAAAATGTGTTCCTGTGGCCCTTGGGGAGCACAGAGCACCTGAGGACAGACAGACTGAACCGAGCCCACCTCTCCCTGGCGCCAGACAATCCCTGTAACCCTGTTCTGCACAAAGACTGCTCTTTAGGCCTGGAGGGATGTGATGTTGTGCCCTACCCCGGAGACTGGAATGATAAAGTGACCACCTAACCGAGGCAGGTAACGTGGCAGGCCAAGAGGAAGAGCTGAGAGGGAGGAGAGGAGAGGGGAGAAGCATCCAGCTGAAAAGGACCCCTGAGTTTCAGACAGTTCCTCTGGTCTTCCAGCAAAGGGAGGCTCCCCTGGAGGCAGAGAGCTGTTTTCTGTCCCTGCTGGGAAGCATATCGATGAGGCAGCCAGAGCTGGGTCGATTCCCTGAGCTGCCTTCTGGGGATCTGGCGGCTGCTCGATGACCTCATCTCGTCAAGGTTTCAGCAGCCTTGCTCCCCTCCTCCTCCTCCTCCTCCTCCTCCTCCTCCTCCTCCTCCTCCTCCTGCCGCCCTCCTCCAGCCCCGTCCTCTGGAAAAGGTGAAGGATGGAGTGTGCAGGAGGCTAAAATCCTTCTATTGATCTGTAGTCTGGAGAGCAATTAACGCAAGCCTTGCCGTGCTGCTCCGTGACCTCTCTGGCAGGAGGGAGGGATGGAGGAAGGGGGTGCAGGCCACAGGGAGAGAGGGGTTGGGGAGTGGTAGCAAAACTGATTAAAGCCATAGGTGGGCTGGCTTCCGTGGGGGTTCTCTTTGTGTCTCCCAGCTGGCACCTGGATTGTCTCCTGCGATGCCAGGATGAGGGTCCCGCTGCAGCCCGGCTGGTGGATCTGCAGCAGAGCTTTCCCTGACTGGGATGGCCAGAAGGTTTGCTCCCCATGACCCCCTCCAGCCTTTGGCTTGTGTTCCTGGAGCAGCTGGATATCAGGAGGAGGGAGGGGAAATTATAAATGGATTGCAGCATGGGTGGTGAGGGCTTTTACGTGGACACCTGTCCACACGACACCGGCCTGGGACGATGGATTCTTTTCAGTCCCCACACGCTGGGCCCCATCTGGTGAAATGCTCCGTAATCCATTACCAGCCTCTTGGACCATCATTTATCATGGGGAGAGACAGAGGAGGCCTGGCAGGGAATGGATGCTGCCCTTTATGCCTCCTTGCAGCCCCGCAGCATCCAGTGACATGTCATTATTATAATCGAAGGTGCGTCCCTTCCAGCCACTTGGCACCTATTTGTTATCATTCTCCGAGCTGCCAGAGCAGGGTGAGTGGATGCAGCCACGCACAGGGATGGAGCAGACGGTGCATTATCCTCCCAGGGAGGGACAGGAGGAAGGACAGGAGCCCTTCTGCTCTAGGGACCGTAAAATTGGAAGGGACCGGCGTGCTGAGGGCTGGACCTGTACTCGGTGCAAACCAGATGCACGCTGAGGTGGAGGGACCACTGTAATCAGCTACAGAAATCCTTCCCGGGGTTATTCCTGGTGGATTCAGAGCTGAGGTGGGAGCAGAAGGGCAGGGGGCACACCTGGACACCAGGCTCTGCAACTCTGACTGCAGGGTGCTGAGTACTCACAACAGAACTGAGCCTTTGGAGATACCACTCACTCTTTGAGTTTTGGTAGTAACAGGGGGGTTTTGCCACTAATCTTGGTGGAAATAGGTGTTTCCACCCTCTAGATTTTACATTCTGTGGCACAGAAATTGCTAATAGGCCAGAACCCAAAGTATTGGTATTTACCTTCCCCCTCCTAAAAATATTTCCACCAGTAGTTCCCTGGGAAGGGAAAACAAACTCTGCGAGATAAATATTTTGGCCGTATTATATTTCTCTGTGTGTGGGTACGTGGAAAATATTCCCATGCAGTGGGTTCTGCCTTATCCTTGATCTGGACACAGCAGGCTCTGTGTGTGTTTGTCTGTGGGCATCCTGACCTCTCCCTTTCCTTCTGGGGCAGGAAGAGACAAAGGAGAGAAAACCACAGAGGAGAGAGGCTGCTGTAGGAACAGGAGTTGTTGGCCCAGCTCTGCTGGCTGTGCCAGTAATACTGAAAGTGATCCCTCATCCAGTGGGGTTCCAGGATTGCAGGCACGTGTGTAGGAGAGGGATCCCTCCTCCCTGCCAGCTGTGGGAGCAACATCTGGGCTGAATGCCTGCCCATGCTGGTGGGGACTGACCAGCCCCTCTCTGTGCAGGCTGAGCTTAAACCCTGAGCATAGTTCAGGCTGGCTGGCGACTGGAGGGCTCGTTCCCAAGCACTGTGTTGCTGGAATTCAGTCCTTGGCCTGCTTTTGGAATAAGGAAGTACCTAATTTTGAAGCAGTTGGCTGCTGCAGTCAGATCCCCTCGGAGACGCTCTGGCTGCAAATGGAGGTGTCTCGCCTGAGCATTGACTGTGCCTGGAATAATCTTGAGTTCACTTTCCTTTCCTCTGTTTACCAGGCTGCAGCCACTCTTTTGGAGGAAGAGAATTCCCCTCCACCCTACGGAAGAAAAATCCCTCCCCCTCCAAATGACAAAAAGTGTGTGGGGGAAAAAAAGCCCTCGGCCACCTGAGCGTTCTGTGAATTTTAACATAAGCAGTTCTGAGTGTGTCTCCTGGAAGGTGGAATGTGATAGGCATGGAAATGAAGGCTCGTGTCCATCTGTCTGTCTGGTAGCTGGGGGTGACAAGGGGAAGGACAGTGCTGCTGGCCCTTTGGCAGTGGCTTCTTCCTTCACCTCCTGTGCCGATGGGCGCCTGCTCCCAGGAAAGCTGGTGGTTTTCTGTTATCGGGCACACAAAAGCATTTGAAGCTTTTTCTAGCTGGAAAAAGAAGGTGTGGAGAGAGTGAGGAGCTTCCCTGGGCTCTGGCAGGGTGCAGGGTGGTGAGGAGGGAACAGTGGGCTCTCCCTGCTTGGCACACCACAGCTGGGCAGAGCCATCCCGGGAGAAGCAAAGGGCGTCTTGTGAGCCTGAGCTGAGGCTGGAGGGGAGGGAACCTGTGCCCGTGGGAAGGAAAGGATGGGAAGGAGGCGTGAAAGGTCTGGTGGTTGCCCACAGTGAGCGCCCTGAGAGTCCTGGGCTGGTGGAAAGTGCTGGCAAGGAGGGCTGCAGAGATGTGACCGAGTCCCTGAGGCATGAGGAGAGAGAGGGATGGGCAGAGCTGGCACAGGATTCCAGGCTGGGGTGAAATTGGAGGGACCGCTGGAGCTCACTTGTTCCAACCTCCCTGCCCAAGCAGGATCTCCTAAGAGCACGTTACTCTGCATTGTGTTGAGAGCCTTGGGGAGCTCCTGCCTCTCCCTGTGGCTCCAGCCAAGACATTCTGGCACTGGAGCTGGCAATCCTCTGTCTGCACTGGTGATGAGTGCAGGGGGGGAGACTCACCCCAGGAGACATGGACTCACCCCAAGTTTTGGGAGCTGTGGCTGGTCCCGGTGGCCCCTCTCTGTGAGGCTGCTGGTCCTGGAGCAGTCAGTGCCCCGGGGGGGATGCACATGGACTGCCCAGAGGTGTGCAGGGGGACAGGGGGCTGTGGTTTTGGATGAAGTAGACGGTGCTGTCACCTTCCCAGGAGGTGGTGGTGCTGGTGGTGGTGGTGGTGCAGCTCCGGGAACGCACGGAGGGTGAGGCTGGGAAGGGAAGCAGGAAGCTGGGAGAGGAAATGGAGTGGAAATGATTACATAGCGTCTGCCTGCTCCTTGGGCAGGCTGCTGTTGTTTTAAAAGCATCTTATTGGCATGATAACTTCCTGTGGAGATCCCGTGCTTTTCCTGTTCCCTTGGATGTGCTTTGGGGGCTTTGCCAGCGAGTGCCTGGAGCCTTGGTGTGTGGCTCTGCTCCTTATGCACCTCTGTCTGTGCCTCTTCCCTCTGACCTGGTGTATTCCCCAGGGAATTGGACACTCCTGGGGTGGGCCTGTGCTCCCCACCATGACTTTGTTGGACCCTGCTTTACCTTGCCATTCCCTGGGGAAGGACTGTCCTGCCTGCTGTGGGCAGGGAAGAGGGAGTTGCTGCAGGGGGTTACAGCCACAGCCCTGTTCAAATCCATCAGGGAAAAACCTTAAGCCCACAGGACAGATAATTTTGTCATGACAGACCCCTGGGAGAAATTTTTTTTTTCTGGTAGTGTCCTTCTTCGAGCCCTGAAGCAGAACAGTTCATACCTTCATAAACTCTCTACCTGATAATCCTGGGTGTTCACATCCCTATAAATGTCCTTGTTGTCTCCTGGTCCGAATATCACACAGCAGTGAGTTCCACAGATTAATAATGGCTTTCACCCCCCCCCATCACACCCCAAAATGGGTGTTTTCTGGAGTTTGGTTTCTTCATTACCCATCCCCTTTATACCCAGAGCAGATACGAGTTACCTGGCTGGTGTTTCTCTCCCCATTTTCATTCCCTGTGCCTCTCCAGCTCCTCTCAGAGTCCCCTTTGGGTTCTTCCCTGCACACACATCCCGTGCAGATCTGAGTTACCTGGCTGGTAACTCATGACAGGCCCCTGGGAGAAATATTTTTTCTGGTAGTGTCCTTCTTCGTGCCCTGAAGCAGAACAGTTCATACCCCTCATAAACTCTCTACCTGTTAATCTTGGATAATCCTCTCCCCATTTTCATTCCCTGTGCCTCTCCAGCTCCTCTCTGAGTCCCGTTTGGGTTCCTCCCTGCACACACATCCCGTGCAGGTATGAGTTACCTGGCTGGTGTTTTTCTCCCCATTTTTATTCCCTGTGCCTCTCCAGCTCCTCTCCAAGTCCCATTTGGGTTCCTCCCTGCACACACATCCCGTGCAGGTATGAGTTACCTGGCTGGTGTTTCTCTCCCCATTTTCATTCCCTGTGCCTCTCCAGCTCCTCTCTGAGTCCCGTTTGGATTCCTCCCTGCACACACATCCCGTGCTGTCAGGCACTGGTGATGCAGGAGGGTTGGGGGGGGAGGGTTGCTCCTCCACCCTTTTGGAGCCCATCACCTTCCTCGGTGCTGACAGGGCTGGGACCTGAACTGCTGTTGCGTTTCGGAGCGTTGACACCTCGGCTCGGCCCCAGCCCTGCTGTCCGTGCCCTGTCACGGGGGTGGCAGGGCCAGCCCGTCACCCGTCACACGCCTGGCCAGGAGAGATGGATGCCCAGCAGATCCCGAGGCCGGGGCAGAGCCACCCTTTGGATACTTCAGGCTGGGTTGGGTTGGAAAGGAACACTTGGAAGGAGCACAAGTTCCCCAGTGATTCCCACTGCACCAGGGGCCTGTTGTCATTCGGAGCACGTCGGCAGGAGAGAAGGGCTGGGGGAGAGGAACCCACAGGGCAAGGCAGAGTTTTCCGCTTTGTGGTGCCTGTGGAGAAACACTCCTTCAGGGTTTTGGTTTTTGTTTTTTTTATTCTCTTCCCTCCCCTCCCCCCTATTTTTCTCCCCCTGCAGCTGAAGAACATTAAACACATGAAATGCATTAGCTCGGATTTTTCCTTCCCCCCCTGCCCCCCTCCCTCAGCCAGGGACCTCCAGGAGGAAGAGGCCTATGAATTGACCCTGCCCAGTGCTTTAATTGACAGGTCATTAAAGATGAATGTGTGGCTAGAGAAAAATATTCAGATTTCAGGCTAGTTGTTGTCCGTGTGGGATTTTAATGATTTATGTTTCTTTCTCCTCCCCTCCTTCCTACTCCCTTCCCCCCCCCATCCTCCAAACAATCCAGGCACCATGGGAGGTCTGTTTCTGGATGGTGAGGAGAGCCCTGCGCTGGAAGACATCAGCAAATGGACGGTGGAGGATGTTTGCAGCTTCGTGTCCAACTTGTCTGGCTGCACCGAGTACACTCAGGTAAATCTGAGCGGGCTCAAGAACGTCCCTGGAGGGGGAACATCCTCCCTGTGAGCCCCCCTTCTCTCCCTCCCATTTGTGCCTGTTGTACTTGCACTGTCCCTCCCAGGAGGTTCATCTCAGAGCCCTGCAGGGCTTGGAAGCTGTGTGGGGTTTTTTTTCCGAGGGGGTTGCTAAACTTGCTGCTGGTGAAGAGCCTGAAGAAGGTGTGTGATGAGTCTTGTAGATGGACAGAAAACAAGGAGGGAGTTCAGTGGAAGAGAATGGGATTAGGGGCAAGGTTAGGAGTGACCACCTGAGCTCAGGTTGATCGTGGTTAGTGGCTTTGTGTCACTGATCTCTCACCCCCATCTCATGCTTTTAGGAGCTGCTGATGCTCCGTGGTGGAGCTGGACACAGCAGTGGCTTTGTGTGGGGTGGGTACCAGGGGGTCCCCAAATCGGGGTGGGCAGCCCGTGGTGCCAACCAGCCTGGCAGAAGGGGCTGTGTTCTGCTCTCTTGCTGCACCCAGCACACTGTGGGGTCACAGTGGGGTTGGGAGGGACCCTGTGCCTGCACAGGCATCAAAGTAACCTCAGTGGTGATTTTTAAGCTCATTTACAGCAGAGTTGAAACATCCAGCAGCAGTGGGGTGTCCCTAGAGCCTGCTCAGTGTGGGATTGTGAGGTGCCATATAAAAACCAACCCTCTGTGTTTTTTGCCTCTGCATCTGCCCGAGGCCGTGATCAATGTGCCATTGAGGGATGCTCCAAGGGCACGGATTCCTGGGCAGCTTGGAAAAGGATGTAGTGTGCTAAGGGAGGGACTGGAAGCGGCAGAGATAGAGAGGCAAAGGGCCAGAGTTCAGGACAATCCAGCCTTTCAGCAGGGGCTGAGAACAGGTCTGGAAAGGGAGGATGGAGAGCAGGAGCTGAGTTTTCTGGATGTGCCTCTTCAGCAGAGGAGCTGCCCTGGCTGACAGCTGAGGGGTGCAGGGCTGTGCTGTGACATCCAGGCTGGCTGAAATGGGGTTTCTAAAAGTCTGCTGCCCCTCCTTTGGTCTGTGCTGTCTGTCCCTCTGTGCTGCACTGGTCCAGTGTCCTCTCCCAGAGCTGAGCCCATCCCCAGGCATTTATTTTGGGAAAGGTGAAACTGGGCACCTCTGTGCCTGCTGGGACCCCTGACAGGGGAGCAGTGTGTGTATCTGCCTGCAGGGAGATGATTCACTGTAGGTTATGCTGATTTAGTGCCATGGGGAAAGGTGCATCCCCAGAGGGGAAGCAGAACCCAGGAACTGCCCCCCACCTCCCTCTCCTTGCACAGGTGATGGATAATGGGATTTCAGTCTAAAGTCTGTCCTTCCCTGCCCCCAAACCATGATGTTAATCTCATCACAACATGCTTCCTTAAAACTACCTGGAAAACCAGTGCTGCTTTGGAGCAAACAGCTGTGCTGGGGGAGAGGAAGGGAAGGGAATGTTTGTTGTGGAGATGGGGGACATGTAACCATCCCCAAATGGAGTGACAGGGATTTGGGTTGTGCTCAGGAGTGGATCAGGGTGAGTGGGTGCATGGGAGAGAGGAGGGTCAGGTTCTGATTGTGACAAGAGGGAGGGAAAGAACTCTGGATAGAAAGAGAGATGGTGGATGGATGTTTATGGGAACATCTGTGTGTGCAGAGGGGAGTTCAGGAGCTGAGTTTAGCGAGGACAAGGGTGGGTTCACAAATGTGCATGTGTGGGCTGCAGAGTGTGTTGCTGAGAGCTCCCACAAAAGGTTCTAAAACCAAAATACACAGCCCTTTGCATTCCCTGCTACCCCCCACCCCTCTGGAGTGCCCTTCCACTGGTGGTGGTGTAGTTTATCTGCATTCCTGTGCTGGGGAAGGACAGTCAGAGTTGCCTGGATGCTTCTGAACCAGGCCAGTAGGAAATGTGCAGGAATCTCCAACGCAGCAGGATCATCCCTTTACACCTTCCACACCATCCTGGTGCACCAGTGGGGGGGGGAATCAAGAGCTGAGGTTCAGCAATCTTCCCAGTGCATTCCAAATAAAATGTTTTATGGAGATGGGAGCTGCTACAAACACCCCCTGGCCACGTCGTTGCTTCGAGCGGGAGTTCGAGGCTTTAAGAGATGATGTTTTTCATGCCATGGTTGTGTGTTTAACGTTTTTTGGTTTTTTTTACTGTGTGAAAATGCCCGTGCTCAGGGGTGACTCTGAGCTGCAGAGCTGCCTTGTGTTCCCCCTTCTCCAAAGCCACAGCTGCCGGGGAGGTCTGGCACTGCTCCACAGGCTGCTCCCGCCAGCAAAACCCTGCAAGGTTCGGGTGGAATGCTGTGCATTTGGAAACATGTTTCAGGCAAAACAAGGAAAAAACTTCAGCAAAAAAAAATTAAAAAGTCACCACAGCCTGGATGGTGTTCAGCTTTGTCTCTGCAGTGGATCTGGGGGACACCCAAGGGGATGCTTTTCCCAAGTTAAGGCTTTTTGTGGAGTGTTTTAGTGCTGAGCGAGGGGAGGGTTTTGGCTCCTGGCCACGCTGGCTGCAGAGGAAGGGAAAAGAAACTGGTGTAGTAAGTTTTGCTGGGTCAAAAAGCAGCAGTGTGTGCTGCAGCCCCAGCCCTGAGCAGCTCTGCTGGAGGAGTCCAGCAATAAAAACCCACTTGGCTCCAGCAGCCACTGCCAGTCTCCAAAGGGATGGCTCCTGGCTGTGGTTCTGCTGCTGGAAAAGATGATATTGGGGTAAATTTAACCCCCTCTGCCATAGTGATTAGTAATAGAAACACTGTGTGTGAGCCATTGCAGGAGGAGAGGGCAGGATCAGCCCCAAATGTGAGCTGGGGTGTGGCAAAAACGCTGAGGAGGTGTTGAGGGAGGGAGGACAGGCAGGTGGGGTAGCAAGGAAAACAGGGAGCTGAGTGACACCTCCCAGAGAGGCAAGGGGAGCTGGTGGCTGAATTACCAAATTTACTCTTGAAATGGAGCCTTGTTGGTGCAAATAAACACCCCGAGGAGGTTGGTGGGAGCGTCCCCTGCACCGTGTGTGAAGGATGGAGCAATAAGACCACACAGCCAGACCTTAACCTTGCTAACACAGCACATATTAGGTGGGAAACTCTTGCATGGCCCTGTCATTTGGGATAGATGGAGGCAAAACGAAGGTTGTTGTGCTTTTTTTTTTCTTTAATAACGTGTTAAAATGGTGCAGTTGTGCATGGCTGGAGGTATTAATGTGTTGATATGAAACTGCTGTTTTCTGGGACTCTACCAGCCCCGTTGCCATTTGTGTGTGCACATCACCAGGTCCTGCTTTCCCTCAGCTAATGGGGAGAGGGGGAAGAGCCCTGAGATGGTTAATGGCACTGTCTGAAGGCCAGGTCACCCTGTAGGATCCTGCCATGCTCCATCAGCACCATGGCACTGAAATATTTATCAGTATCAATACTGTTTATTAGTATTTATACTAATAAATATTGCAAGATTTCTTAGTATTTCGGGGAAAAAGCAAGGGCTGAATGTTAAAACAGACTAGTGAGGAGGGATCATCCTCCCTGATCCCAGTGGGTGTTCTGGGAGCAGGATGGGCTGCACTCTCCAGGCTGCTCAAGTGTTGTAGGGATAGTGGGAATGCCTGAGAGGCAAAGGAGGAGACAGGAAAAAAAAAAGTACAGAAGTGTTCCATGTGAATCCATCTATCCTGCAGCATGTGCTCCACAGATCTGTTTATGTATTTTGCCTGGACTGTTTGGGAATTAGCAGCTTTGAGAAGGAAATGCATGAGCAATCCATCCCTCCTTTTCCATGGCATTTGCCTCAGTGAGGACTGCAAATATTTTTGGAGTCTACTGGGTCAACTTTTCCCCAATATCCACACAAAGTGTGAGTGACTTAGGATTTGCCAAAATTTAATTTTTTTCCCCCCTGTTTTCTGCCCTTTTTGGAGTTGGGACCCCTGAGCATGTCAAAATCTGCTGTCAAACACTGACAGAGTTGCACTTGGGGCAGCTGGTTTGGGTGCTAAACCTGGGATGAAAAACTTCACACCCTGTTCTGACATTAGGAAAAAAAAAGGGGGAGAAAAAAAAATTATTGTTTTATATAAACTGGCCCAACCAGCCCTAATTCCCATTCCCACGTGTGTCTCCTTTTGCTCACTGGCTCCTGGCTGTGGGTGCAGGACTGTGAACACCTCTGGTGTATAAATATGGACTGACCTCACTCTTGGAGTTCACCTTTCCCACAGAGCCCTTCTGTGCAAGGGCAGGACAAGGGCACTGGGTGTGTCAGTGGCATTTCTGAGCCTGTGCTGTGCTTTCCCTCCAGGTATTCCGAGAGCAGGCCATTGATGGAGAGACCCTGCCCCTCCTGACAGAAGAGCACTTACTGAACAACATGGGGCTGAAACTCGGACCTGCCCTGAAGATAAGGTCACAGGTAGGAAAATCTCCTCTGTAGCAGCACGTGGCATGCTCTGAAATTGTCCCCCTCACCAGAATGGGGCTGTCAAGAGATGTGGTTTATTGAATGTCATTTATTAACAGTAATTTATTCTGTGATTCTGTCTCAAGAAAGCTCGATCTTGTCCTTCCAAAACTTTCCATATCCTCACTCAAATCCAGTCACAGCTGTTTCAAGGAAGAAACCACAGGCAGAGTTCAGCACCCAGGGGCAGAAGCAAATAGTTCAGGAGGAAATAACAGGGATGCAGCAGGAAACTCCTGAAATGGAGTGGTTCCTGCTGGAAAAAACACATCAGGTGGTTCCCATAAATGCCAGCCAGGAAGGAAGAACAGCTGTGAACAGGTGAAGGGAAGGTGGTTTCACACTGGCTGAACCTGAAAATAGTCATCCCCAAAGTACCTAAAGAGGGATGTAAAGCCACCTCAGGAATCAGTTGTCTTTTCCTAGGCTGGATTAGGTCCTTTTGCTGCTCCTTTTCCCTGTACCTGGCTGCATCCTGGCAGTTCTCCTTTTGAGTGAGGCCTGAAGCACATTTAATGTGTCTCAGCTGTTGTGCCTTTCCCTCCCCAATGAATAATGACCCAGCTCTTGCCCTTCTCTGCTGTGCCAGGAACAGCCCTCTATAACATCTTTATCTCTTGCCAGTCATAACTTACTGGTCCTGCTGATTTGGCTGCACTGGAAGTGGAAATTATATTGGTTGCATTAGTCCAGTTCTCTTTTAGGGGACTGTATTTCCTCCCCAGCACAGACTGGTTTGCTGTTGTGCCCTTTTAGCCGTGTTTCTTCTCACAATACCTTTTTTCCCCCCCATGAGTTGGTTCCCAAGTCCCTGCCTGTAGAGCTTTGCTGTCCTAAAATGACTTTGCTCTTCTCCTGCCTCCCTCACAGCCAGCCATGGTAATTCCATTCCAGTTGCCTCCACTTCCCCTCAGTGGGATTCAAACCTAGGAGAACATCTCCACTGGCTTAATTTTTCTTTTTTTTCCATTTAATGTTCAGGGAAAAAAAAAAAATGACTTGTGACACATGTAAAGCACAGGCTGTGCTGTGTATTCCCTAGGGAATCGTGTCATGGAAGTGACTGTCATGTGTACATGGACACTCACAGCTCTGGCACAGGTCCCCAAACGCACAGGGCTGTACACTGGTTATATTATGTTAAAACAATAAGAGCAGCTTTACTACTTTCCCTCCAGCCCTCCCTGTTTATGAGGGGGCTAATAAAAAGGTTCTGTGGGCAATTGTTCCCCGTGGGTCGATTCAGGAGGAAATAAAACTCTTTCTGCTCCTTAAAAAACAAGGGGACGTCAAATAGCTCACAGACATTCCGAGATGGGGCTTGGGGTGGGGGGAATATGAGATATGGGCTGGAAGCAGAAAAACCAGCTTCAATTTAATCAATAGTGTTTAAGGGTCTATAATAAGGCACGGCTGGGGGGAGGTAAGTGGGGAGCACTGATGCTGCTCCCTGAATAATGTGGCAGTTGTCTGGGTGGAACAGCAGCCTGTGTTTTTGTTTAAGCTCAAATGTGAACCAGCTGTGGAGGTGCTGGGAGGCTGTGGGGCCTTTGGCCCTTGCTGGGAGGCAAGAACTGCTGCAGGAGAGCTGGCTGGGGCTGCAGGAGGGAGAGGTGCAGGCTGAGAGCTGCCTCGGTAAGGAACAGCAGCCTCCCCGCAGCAGGATTTTTGTTCTGCCTCTCCCTGTGTTGGTCCCAGCTCCCCCTTTTAGGAGCAATTCCCACTCTTCCAAACTGGATGTGGGGTGCTGTGCCATCAGCAGGAGAGCACTGTCCTATCAAACTGTCCACCCTGTTAATGCAAGGACTGAAGAGGTTAGACTCAGTCAGCCCTTCTCTCCTGGGGGTGTCCCAGCACACCTTTAGCCTGGAAAATGTGGACTCAGGGCAGACCTTGTGGCTCCAGCAGTACCTGCTGCCACACACCACAGTGCCCAGTAAAACAGTGCTGGAGAGCACAGGACAGAGCCCTGCAGGACTAGAGGAGGAAACCCCCTGGTTTGTCTTCCCAGGTGGATTGGGAATGGTGGTGCTTCATTCCAGTGATGGAACCACAGAATCACAGAACAGTTTGGGTGGGAAGGGACCCTAAAGCTCATCTGATTCCACAGGCAGGGACACCTTCCCCTAGACCAGGTTGCTCAGAGCCTGGAGCACATCCAGGGATGATGATGGAGCATCCACAGCTTCTCTGGGCAGCCTACCTCTTTATTTGCAGCTTGGATACAAAACCTGACCTCACGCGTGAAAACCCGCGGGATTCTCTAGACCGTCTGTGCGCCTTTCCACCCTCCTGCATTGATCCCACATCCTTTTTTTTCCCATTTCCTTTATTAACAGGTGGCCAAGCGAGTGGGCAGAGTGCTGTACATGGCAGGCTTCCCCATGGCTTTCCCCCTGCAGCCCCCCGGGCTGAGGCCCCCGGAGCGGGACGTGCCGGCGGCCGAGCTGCGGCCGGCGTCCACGGGCAGCGTGGCCTCTCCCTTCGGCAGCGGGGTCCCTTCCTCTGCCAGCCGGGGCTCCCCAAAGCAGGAAAACGGGAATCCTTCCCTCCTCCCCGGGCTCAACGACACCACGAAACCTCCGTCCTAACTGTGGGATGCCCTCCAGCTGCTTCTGGGACTTTGGGGATCCAGCGGGACGAGCCGAAGGATAAGGCCGGAGCCTCCCCCCCGCCCGCAGCGCGAGACGCAGGAGTGAGGGAGGAAAAGGGAGGTTTTTATTTGGGTTTTTTTGGGATGAATTTGCTTTTTTTTTTTTTTTTTTGGTTTGGGAAAATCATTAAAAAAAACCACAGAAGAGTTCAAAAAAAAAAAAAAGGGGGAAGGAAAGAAAATGATCCAAAGATGTCCTGAGACAACGCGAGTGAAGAGAAGGATTCTGGAGGATGGCTGCAGCATTCCTGTTCCCTTTCTCGCCCAGAGATGGAGAGCCCTGGACAGGGAATGAACGCTGTTCTTTGCCTTCAAAGAATCCTGGCTGTCAGGAACTCCTGGGTGTGACTCCAAGCAGGGAAGGGGAAGGGGCTCCGCTCCTCCCAATGGTACTCAGCACCCCTGAGAGCAAAGAAAAAAAAAAAAAAAACCATAAAAAAAAAAAAATCATCACACCAACCACCTTCCCAGATCTCTCCTCCTCCCTGGAAACTGTGCTCAGTTCCTCATTCAGGTGTCTATGCATCTCTAGCGACTTTGAAAACAATACCAAAGACAGACAAAAAAGGAAAAATTAAAAAAAAAAAAAATAAAAAAAGAGAGGAATTAAAAAAAAAAAAAAGAAAAAGGAAAAAAAAAGAAAAGGCAAGTTCCCGTCCATGTTTACTTCGTGCGGATGGTACGGCACCGGCAGCTCCGTGCTGGCCCCTTCCCTGGCACAGGGCCCTGCCAGCACACAGGAGAATGGACTCTGCCTGTGCTCCAGCCCTACAGAGGTGTTCTTTTATTTTTTTGCCCCATTAGATGTCTTGTTTCAAAGAGAAGAAGAAGAAGGAGGAAATGTGTGCTTGGGTGGGATGAAGGCTCACAGCCTCCCTCCTCACGTGTCCAACAGACTCAGTTCTACAGCTGGGGTGGGGTTGATTGATTTTATTTTTTTTTTTTTGTTCCTAGGGTTGGTTTTTGCTCTTCTTTAAAGCCTTGTTACAGAGGTGGATGTAGTTGCACATTCTGGCCTGCTGTGGACCATGAGACAGATCCCTGGGAGGGGGAGGGATGCTGGGGGCTAAAAAACAATGGGCAGAGTTTTTACTACTGTGAATGAGCTGGGAACTCCTGGGGGTGACCTCCTGTGACTTGTACAGTTGTGAACAACAATCACATGTGGTACTTTTCTCTCTCTCTCTCTCCCCTGCCCCCTTTTTTTTTTGTTTGTTTGTTTTTTGGTTAAACGTTGCACGTGCTACCGTTTTTTTTCTTACAAAATAGCTTGGTGGTACATTAGCTTCTTTATATTGTAAAAAAAAAAAAGTTTAAAAAAAAAAAAGTCATTATGCATCACATCACGATAAAAAAAATGCTTTCCAGCAATCAATTTAAATAAAAAAAGGAAAACACTTAATTTACAAATGGTACCTGGCTTTAACCAAGAAGTCTCTCTCCTTTTTTTTTTTTCCACTGGGGCCATGTGGGTGTTGGTGCTTCAGAGCTGCCACATTTCTGGCCTAAACACCAATCCAGGGGTTGGTTAACAGCTGCCAGAAGGCAGCCAGCACTTTGCCCAGCTTAGTTAGAGAAAGGAGATAAAGCAACTCCTTTCTCTTTTGGAAGAACAGGTAGGTCAAAACCTTTTCCTTACAGTTGGGACATCACAGTTCTCACCTGTGGAGTTACATCCTCCCATATGAACTCCCATATGGACCTGTCTGAGGATTCAGCCTCAGTCTTGAGGGCTCCTTAGCCCCTAATGAACCAGCAGGTACTTTGGCCCCCTCAGAGCGGGCTTTAAATAATGACAATAATGATTATGTTAACAATAAACCCCAAATTATTAATTTCTGAGGTTATCCTTCCTATGGGAGGAAGTATCCAGGTGCAGGCCTGGTAATTCCTGTAACTGAAGAATAAGCAGCCTTCCCTGCCCCTATTCCTGCTGCTAAGCTCCAACAAGCCACAAAAAAATAAAAATATATTTTATATTTAAATATTCTTTTTTTAAAAAACCATCTTGTCCTCTTGTGGTGTGCAGGGTAAGGATGCCTGGAAGGGCACAGGGAGGCAGTGCCATGAAGGCAGAGCTGCCCCTCTCTGTGCAAGTCACTTGGCCACCCTAAGCACTGACAGACACCTACTGACCTCACTGAATGGTGGCAGAGAAGAATAAATATCATGTATTTACTCCTGGCCTTCTATCTTCTTTTAAAAAAAAAAATCTGCATTAAGAAATAATAATGTTCTCAAAAGGCACAGTTAATTTTTAGGAGTGACTCTGTCAGCTGTGCCCTAAGGATACTGAATAGCAAATGCCCTCTATTTCCAGTTTATTTTCCAAAGAAATATGTTTCCTAGCTGCCAGCCTTGCAAACTACCCGTGGTCTCAAGAGAGAAGCTCTTTTTTAATTCCCCAGCAGATCACAAATTGCCCAGTGCCCACCTTGAGCTAAACTGTCCCCCCACTGGCAGCACTCCCAGGGGCAGAGACATAATGAGCTGCATCTGGAGGCTGCCCAGGTGATGCAGGGGTTGGCTTTGAGGCAATAAAAGCCAAAGTCACTGTTTTGGGGTCTCCCAGAACAAAAGGGTGTTCACAGCAGCTGGGACTCGCCCTAGAAAGGGCTGATTTTATGTCCCTGTGGGTGACAGGTACTGCCAGGCTCAGACTGGTCCCTTGTTTTTGATAAGCAAATGTATCCCACACAAATCCAACAGCTAACAAAAAAAAATGGAAATGTTTCCTGCATTATTAGTTGTGCCTTTCCTTATTCCTTCCTGCCTGCACAGCCTCCCCAACCCAAGGAACTTCAATGTGAAGTTACCTTCTGTAGCACACTTACAGCCAGCTTGACTGAGCTGATAAAAGGCTTCCATTGAAGCTACAAAGCTCTGACACACGCTGTGCCATCCTTAAGACCTTCTTGGCAACAGGGCTGGTTTTGGTGAGTGCCCCAGAGCAAGATGAGGGGTGACAGGGGTGGGTGGTGGAGCAGAGAGGCGGAACCTTAGCCAAGAAAACCTGTACTTCCCTTGCTCAGCTCGCTTAGCAGGAGCTGAAACTGAACCCTGTGCTATTTAAAGCAGCAGATTTTTAATGAGGGCTTTTTATTATCTCTGCTGAGCAGTTTCACTGGCCTTGACGTGACCACAGTTTTATTGTTACCAAAAACATAACTGGTAGAAAAAGCTTGAGAGTCCCAAATTGCGTCTCCGCCACGTCACTGAGCAAGTCCTCGGTGGCACTTGGGGCTCCCACCTGCCGTGTTCCCGGCTCTTACCCCCTGCTCCAGGTGCTGGAGGCTCAGGGAATCCAGTCTGTAAGGGATCAGCGTGGAGGGGAGGCTGTGAGGGAGCTCAGTCATCATCTGAGAAGGCCAGGTCCTCCACGATGTCCTCCCCGCCCTGGGCGAGCTGTTCCAGGTCGGAGCGTGACATCCCTCGGGGGCAGCTCCTCTGCTTCCGTGGCCCTTGGGAATCCTGAGCACCTTCCCTGCCTTCCTCTGTGGGTAAAGAGAGAGAGAGAGGTGTAAATCCTGCCTTACTGGGAGCCAGCGTGAGGTGAGTCAAGGCAACTCATGACTAATTAATCCCAGACACTCATTAATTTATTGGCGCCTGGAGCGCGGCAGGAGGGCCCTGCAGGGTGCAGGTACTGCACTGGCTCTGAGGTACCTGAGCCCAAACTGGTTCACCTGAGGCAAAAACATACAGGAAGAACTGGGGGGTACAAGACAGGCAGAGCCTCCAAACCTTCATCCCTCTGGGCTCAGCTCAGTCTTCCTCACTGGAGGTATCGGACTGGGCTTTGAGAGCTGGGCAGGAAGGAGCTGTCACAGGTACCACCAAACCCTTCCAAATGCAGAAGTATTCCCCAAAGAGTGGGGGGCCCAGGTGAGAAACGGTTTCTAGGACCTGCTCATGGGTTGGAAGGGACCCTAAAGCTCAGCCCATTCCTGCCATGGGCAGGGACATCTTCCATTAGACCAGGCTGATCCAAACTGGCCTTGGACAGTTCCAGGGATGGGGCAGACCCAGCTTCTCTGGGCAACCTGGGCCAGGGCCTCACCACCCTCACTGTAAAGAATTTTTTTCCTAATATCTAATCCAACCCTGCCCTAGAGTCAGTGTGAAGCCATTCCCCCTTGTCCTGTCACTCCAGACCCCTGTAAATAGTTTCTGTCCATCTTTCCTGTAGGCTCCCTTCAGGTACTGGAAGGCCACAATTAGGTCACCCCAGAGCCTTCCCTTTTCCAGGCTGTTCCTCCAGCTTGTCTGAGTTCCCCAGCAGGCAGAGAAGGAAAACTCTCCTTCCTTCTGCTTTACAGCATTGTCAGAACACACACCAAATACCCATCTATTCCTGGTGCTGGGGTTTGGGTGTGCTTGCCAAGCCACAGCCATCTGCCACACTAAATCCATCAGGTTTTGCTCTCTCTTGGACTCTTTTCCCCTCCCCAAACCAGCAGAGAAGTCGCACACAGGCACTTCTGTGGCTGCTCCCCACAACCACACATCACACTCAGAGGCACAGCGAGGAGCAGAGCCTTGGCACTCTGACACAGAGGCCTCAGCAGTGGCACAAAACCCAGCAGAGGAGCCCCACAGCAGCCCCTGGCAGGGCCAGCTTCCCCCTGCTCCGTCAGCTGAGGGGCTTGGCAGGCACAGGCATGGCTGTGGTGGTCGTGGTTGGGGCTGAGCAGGGGATGGAAGGGGAAGATACACCCTCCTCAGCTGCACAAAGCCTGGCTTGGTGTCCAGCACAGCCCTGGTGACAGAGCTGGCAGCCTTCTCATTTAAAGAAAGCCATTTAGAGCTGCTTTCTGCCTTCTCAGAGCACACTGACCCCAGCAGCCTCTCACTCCAATGCCCACCACTCGCCAGTTCCAACTGGGCAGCAGCTACTAATGGGCAGGAGTGTCCAGGACTGAGCCCAGAGGCTGGTCAGTGGTTCTATGTCCACACACTGCCCAGTGCAGAAACCCCCATGGATGCAGGGCCTTGGACATGGTCTCCTGTCAGTCCTGCCCAGGGAGGAGCTGCAAAGGAAGGGTTACCCTGTGCAGCACCCCATGCCCCAAGCATGGCTCAGATAAAAGGGGACGTGCACCCTGCACACCCCACGTGTGTGTGACCTGCAGGGAGCCTCCAAGCAGGGTCTGTGATCTCCAAGCAAGGCTTCTGTACCCCTGTTGGGCTGGGCTGTACTTGGAGTCTGTTTGAGCCTCGCTGCAGGAGGCCCCTGAAAAGAGATGAAAGGGACTGGAGGCTTGTTAAGAGCGAGGCCTGAAAAGATCTTAACCCCTTCTCTCCTTGGTGTAACTCAGAACTGCCAGGTCTCCCTGCCCAGGGTGTGTGTCTGTGTGTGAAGTCCCTCCTGGCACTCTCAGCTCACAAGAGCAAAGGAGCCTTCAGGCACCAGTGCTGTCAGGAATTCCCTTCCCCTCTGCCCAGCTGCTCCACTTACCATCTGACTCACTGTCCTCTCCCAGTTCTTCCTCGTCCTCCTCGATTTCATAACTTCCTTCTTCGTCATCATCATCCTCACCATACTCCTTGCTGCTCTCTTCTGAGCTGTCATCTGATGCCTGCTTGGCTTTGCCTTTACCTGCAAGTATTTTCACCATGTAAATGGAAAAGTGAGGAGCAGCACACGTGCAGGGAGGACATTGAAAGGGCAAAGAGCTCAGGAGTGCCAGACACACACCAGAGGGGACGTTTCTCCACATTTCTCACACCTGTCTCCCCAAAAGCCACATCTCTCTTGCACCACAGGCTTGGAGAAGGATGGATTTAATTTCAGAGGTACCTGCTAGAGGCCAGGAAAGAGTCAAAGAAATCAGCTCAGAACCCACAGCAGGGTTTTACTGCTAAAGCCCAGGATTTGCTGCTACCTGGTACTTATGGAGCACCACTGGCACAGCAGCCAAGTGTTCATCTTGGATCTGCCTGCCCTGCTCAGAGAGACAGGAAAGCTGGACAGACAGAGGAGTACAGGGAGAAAGAAATGAGCCTGCTGAAAGGAGAGGGAATAAATCCCACAGCTGAGACCAGAAAAGGGCTGGTTCTACTGAGAGATGGTGCCTGTGTCACACCCACCTCCACCTTCCATGGTTAGTGCAACCAAGCACAGGGGTAGATTCTGGTTCAGGGCATCCTTGTAAACCTCTCTTAACTTTGTTCCCTCTGTTAGTCACAACAAAAGTGTCTAGGCACTGCTGCTGAAAATTCCCTCTGCAGATGGCAAGCCAGGTCCAAGGGAGCCTGGCAGGAAGGGTCAAGACCCTCTGGGTGCTTGGCTTGTGGGAAAACCATCCACTTCTGAGCCTCTGGACCCAGATTTCTACTCATGCTGGGTTTGGTGCAGTGGGGGAGTGCCTCTCCTCTCTCCCTCCTCAGGGCCCTGAATGCCACCAGGCTTTTAAACGACAGAACACAAGTTCTGTACAGAGGGAGCAGCAGAACCAGCTGCTTCTTGCCTCCTTCCAGCCCTGAGCTTACAAACTGCTCAAGAAGCTATTTATTCACAATTCAGACCCTGCTTGGAACCCGCCTGTACATCTTTCTCACTCTGTGGTCCCTGGGCCACACCACGGCGCCTGATCTTTGTCCCACCCTCCCTGCCCAGCAGCTGACCTATGCAACTCACTGAACTGGAGACAGAGCCATCAATAAGCTGGCTGCCAGCATTCCCAGCTCCCTGTCACCACCCTGTCTGCTCTGCTCTCACCCATCTGTCAGCTCTGCCAGCACAGTTCCCCCTGAGGGATGGGAAGCCACATCCCACGGCTGGAGCTCCCAGGCACTGCGAACCCTTGCTCCACAGGAGGTGGACTGCAGTGCTGCCCACTGCACCCCATCACGGTGATGGGCACCTGAGCAGCTCAGGAAACAACCCAGGGCACGCTCTCATCCATCAAACACCAGCCAAAGCACCAAGAGATCCGGCAACCAGCTCAGCCCAGAGGATGCAGGAAACCAAGTGTGGGCAGGGATTGGGTCATTCCTACCTGCTGTGACACAGGAATTTACTGAACTTCCCCAGCCTCCCCTCACACACAAGCCCCAAATTCCACCTCCTGAGGCACAAGTGCATCAGTGAGACCCCAGAAGACAGTAGGGAACCACTTCTGTCCCCCTATTCCTCAGCTGCCAACAGGCCACAGCAGGAATTTTCCCCCTGAGAAAGGGCCACGATTCCTCTGGTAGGAAATGAAAAGGCCTGCCCTCTCCCTCCACACCCCTGGCCCCCACCAGTCTGGCATTAAATTGATGTAATATGATTAGGCGAGGGATAAATGAAGAAACCTGTTCAAGTTCATTAAGGCTCAGCAACACCTAATGTGGACAGATCACTCATTACTGCCAGGCCCGGGGAGACGCTCCCTCCTCGCCTTTAATTGCCTCATGACGAGGCAGCCCAGCACCTCTCCCGAAGCCATTAATGATTTCCAGCCTTGCCTTTCCTCCCAGAGATCCAGCTGGTAAATGAGAGGAATGCAGGTACCTCCCCACCCCCACACAGACTGATCAATCCACGCTCTTTCTTCCCCAGCTCCTCGTTCTTTCCTGCTCAGGGGGTTCCCAAAATGTGCAAACTGGTTTCCTTCCCCTCTTCAGCCCTTGCAGAGACCCCAGCCAGGGAGTCTCTCCATCCTGCCAAACCCATTCCAGAGGGCATCTTGTCCTGATGTGATGGAAGAGTCTGCATCCACCACCTTCCCTGCTCCCTTGGGGAGGATGCCAAGGGTGTGTGATCCTGCTGAAATGAGCAGGGAGCTTTCAGCTCCACCAGCACAAGGTAAGGGGAACCTCCCCTAGATCCACGACATTAAAAAACAATTGCAAATTCATCCCTTTCCCTGCTGCACACACCAATACACTGCTGCCATTTCTTCTGGGAGTGGCAGCACCACAGCCAGGTGGAGGCCAAAAAAAGGAACCACCAGAAACAGCCAACAGGCAGCATCATCTCCTTAGGAGGACCACAGTGGATCCTGATCCAGTGGGCAAGAGGCTTAAAGATCCCCATGACACACCAGTGCCACAGTTACTTCCACAGCACCAACGTGTCCTGGGTCAGGTCTCTCCTCATCTCTTTTCAGGGTCAGCATCACTGGGCATTCTCAACTGCACTCCCTGTTTTCCAGCTAAACTTTTTTCCCTGTCCCATCCAGAGTAGTCTTATCTCCCTGCCTAGATTTCTGCCATGAGCTGCTCAACATGCCTCTCTTGGAAGCAGTTTGAGGCTGATTTAAGATGAACCAAAGTCCTACCGTTGCCCCAGACTCTCCTTTTGACTCTTTGGAAGAGAGGAGATTGTTATGCCTTCAATCTCACAGGTAAAGAAGAAGCGAAGACACAGGCCACAGCAGCTGCAGGGCCTCCCAAATTCCCTTGCATCTGGCCACCCAGGAAAACAATGCCCACAAAACACAGGGAAGTGCAGCACTGGCTTCTCTGACAGTCACCGAGTGCAGAGCCTGGCTGGGAACATCTCACACCCCACACAGAGCAAGAACAAGAGCTCATTGTGTGCGTCTCCCAAGACAGATGCTTTTCCAGCCTCCCTGTTCCCTGTCCCTTGCCCACTGTGGAGTCACACCACTGCCAGAGGGGACTTCACCCTGTGCCACCACAGCTCCGCTGCCCCCACCCAGCGCCTGGGGATTCATGTGGGGCTGAGCACAGTTGCTCCTTGAGATGGAATATGCCTTCAGGGCTGCTCCCTTCCTCCAGAAAACACCCTCCTAAGAACAAAGGCTAAGGAGAGATGGCTGGTCCAGGAATGTTGGAAGGCCAGGCCCATCACTGGCACTGCAGTGCTGGTGCAAACTCAGACTACACAGCACAGCTGTGGGAACTAAACAGAGCAGGGAGAGCCCTTGGATATCACATGGATCTCAGACCTCACTCTGTCACAGTGGATGGCAGACCCTCAGAGCTGCCAGAGCCTCATGCACAGATGTCACAGCACAGGCCCGGGGTAAAGCCACGCCTAACACGTGGATTGCAAACCTTTCCCCCTTTTATGCTCCCCTCCCATTCTTTGCCAGATCACCTACAAAAATTCCTCTGACTTCAGCCTCAAGCCATCAAACTTTTCCAACCTGTTCTTCCTCCTGTGCCACAGATGCCTGTGAGGAAGAGGATGCTCGCTGGTTCTGTGGCAAGTCTCAAGGCTTATCCTCACACCTTACCCTGGGCACAAGTCGCCCTGTTGTATGAATGACAATGCATTTAGAAAACCTGGGACATCCCAAACATTCCAAATGACAAAAAGAACATCCAAGTTTATCCTCCAACTCTGTGGTGAACTTCTCAGGCAGGTTCCACAATTTACTGTGGCCCTCTCGTGGCCACAGCCAGAGGGTGACATCACCCACGTTCTCCAGGTTTTCTTGGCTTGTCAAGAATACTTGGAATGTCAGTCACCATAAAATAAATAAATCAGAAGTTCATGCAAGGAGAAGATCAAAGATCCTCCTGCTGGTAGCCAGCCCCTATGATGTACAGAACCTGTCCAGCCAAACATCTCTTGGTTTTTGGGCTCTCAGGTTGAGGTCGGTGTGTGTGACAAAAGCAAGGTGCCAAGGGGATGAGAGAGGTCATGCACAGGAAAAGATTAATGCAGGACTAAGGCTTTAAAATGAGCTGGACTGACAAAGGAGAGAAAGATAAAAGCCTCTCAAACACCATCATCCTGTGCTCTCCCTCCCTCCCAGTGTATCTTTTGAACCCACCATGGTCATACTGACCCACATCATATGGAATTCTGGACAAGGAGAAGTCAAGCCCAGCCCCAGCCCTGTACCTTTTACAGAGAATCCACTGTTCTCCTCATCAGAGTCACTGTCCATCTCGAAGAGGTCCTTGAATTCCTTCTTATCTTCCTCCTTTCTTTCATCGGGCTTCTTGCGCTTGATTTCTGGGAAGTTCAAGTCTTCAAGCTGGAAAAAAACCCAAACCAACAGTAAGAACAACCTTAATTTGTACTTTTAAATATAAAATGCAGTGTTTAAACACAGGACTTGGCTTTGCCCAGCCTGCCAAGACCAGCTGGGTCTGCCTGCTGCCAACTGGAAGAGCCACAGATCTGTGAGCTGGTCACAAAGGTGACTGATACACACAAAGCACTGCTGCTCTATTGATCTTTACCTAATAAACTACTTTTGCTAATGGACCCTCTACTGCTGGTACCTTAGCAGGGATAAAAATGCAAGATATCCACGAAGAGCTGGCTGCAGGATCTCTGGACTGAAAGCCACGCAAGCCCAGTGAAGCTCAGGAGGCAGCACAATCAAGACAGACTGTGCTGCTCCTCTCTGCAGCAGGAGTTCCACCAACACCAAAAGCTGTGACAGCTCCACCAAGGCTGCCTTTCTGGGTGCAGATTTCAGCACGGTTAGATGGCAGGGATGCTAAAGGTCTGCCTGCACCCCCATCACTCGCCCTCGTGGAGGATCAATGGGCCAAGAGCCCCCTGCTGCAGCCAGCCAATATCAATGCCATTAAGCACTTGCCATTGACACCACCTCACTGCTCTTTACACCTCTCCGGAGGGGGATTAGGGGGAGGATTTACTCGCAAGGGCTCAGGCCAGCAGGGCAAAGATAATCAGAATGCAAATTAAATCCCAAGTGCTCTGGGAACATCAGCTGCCCGCTGCCCTGCCTGGCTGCACACCCCCTGGGAAGCACTCAGGCATTAGCACACATTAGCTTGCTTGGAAACATTCACCCCTCGAGTAATAACTCATTTGCTCCCCTCTACCCCCAAACCCATCAGACCACCCCTCAACACGCTCCTCCTCGACCACTTCAGCCCTCCTGAGAGCTTCTCCCGACGGGAACAGCAGGGAAGCACAGCCTGTGTGGAAGGGCAGCTCTCAGCAGAGAGAGAGAGAGAGGGAGGACTGGGATGGGGAGGGGAGACAAGGGAGATGGAGATGTGCATTTGCTCCCGCAGCCAATTCCAGCAATTTCTCCCAGCCTGTTTCACGGTTATGGTCCCCAGCTGGGCAATATTGATCCTGGGAGCTGAGCACTTACAAGCAATAACCTGCAGCACCGGGATGGAAAGTCAGGAGCTGGTCAGAGAAGGGGAGAGGGGAACGAATCACCGACCACCATTTACAGGGGCCTAATTTTAAATCATCTCCCCACCTGCTCTTTTTTTCCCCCACTGTGAGAGGCCTCTGCTCCCACTGGCCCTGCTGGGCTGTCTGTGCTGGGAGGGTGGGTGAAGGGAGCAGCACAGGGCTGGCTTTCCAAAACTGCAGTCATTCCATGACAGAGAGGAGACTTGGGAAGCAAAATGCAGCAAGGGCAGTGATCCAAAGGCACTGCCAACCAGCTGCCCTCAGCTGACCCAGTGACAGACTGCCACCATCCTCTATAGAATCACAGAATGGTCTGGGCTGGAAGGGACCTAAAAGATCTCATTCCACCCCCTGCCATGGGCAGGGACACCTTCCACTAGCCCAGGTTGCTCCAAGCTGGCCTTGAACACTCCCAGGGATGGGGAGTTCTCAAGCCCAGCAAGCTTGAGGCAGAGGGGTGAAAACATTTTCCATAGACCCCATTATTTCTGGTGGACACAACAGCCTCATGTGCTGGCAGCGTGTTCAGCAGGGAGCAGAGGCTGTTAGTCCTGTGTTGGTCTTTGTTTTCACACTGCCTAGGAAAAGTCTCCATTTCCAGAGGCACCCTACAGTTTTGGGTGACCATCAGTACTGGCTGAACTCAACCTGAGCATATTACAAAGGACCTGGTGTTGAATCCTGCTGAGTTGTGCTACCTCCAACTTTGAGACACCACAGGACTGCACCTCAAAATAAAGGCACCCAAACCCCTGCTTGCCATGGAGTGATCACAAAGCAAAGGAATGAGGCTTGTACTGAGCCACAGCTCACAGATACGGGCTGTGTTCATCACACACAAGCAGTAATTAGGTAATTTGGGGGCCAGTCTTTTAATCCCCAGCTAGAGGGTTACTATCTACTGAGCCTCACGAAGCCGATTAGTCCACATCCCATTAAAAACCATTGGGAAAAGCAAATGGAATGGGCAGACAGGGTCAGTGTTGTTATATAAGGCAGGGCTGCAGCTCAGAGCAGCTGAGAGACAGCCTGATCTTTTTTTTTTTTCCCTGTTATTATTTTTTCCCCCCCAATGGCTGCTAATGGGACATGGATTTTCCCAGCCCTAATGGGCCTCATGGTGTTCACTCTCCTGCTGGGGCTCACAATGCTGCATCATTAAACTACCAGTCCCCACTGAGGCACACAACAGCCCCATTCACCAAGCAGAGATGCCAGGCAGCCACGGGCCTTTCCAAGACTCTGACTCCAAATTCTGCCTCTCTCTGCAGTCTATCTGCTCAGCCCACTTTCTGCAACAGAAAACAAGCCCCTGTCACTGCCTTTCACACTTCCCCTGGTTTCTTGAGCCTTGCTATATGAAAGCAATGTCCTTCTCCACCTCAGCTGGTCCTGGACACCCCAAGGAGCTCCAGCTCCCCTCCTCCACTTAATAGAATACAGGGGCTTGTCTGCACTGAGGGCTGATCTCTCCCCTTGTGAAAGCTGCTTCAGTACCAGGAAGGTGTCTAATCACACCAGCAGGGCCAGTTTTGGGCAGGAGATTAACCCCACTCACAGCCATCACTTCTCACTGTTTCTTAGCCCTCCCTCCCAATTTCCTCTCTGCAAAGGCCACATTCTTTGCCCAGCACACAGCGTGCTTTTTGTTCCCTCTGCATGGCTGCCCTGGGGATTTTCAGCCTCCTGCCCTTCTCCCAGCCTGCTCTACAGTATTGAGCATTTGTAGGATCTCCCAGGTCTCCTACCACGCCCTGGGACTCGTCTGGGAGCCAATCATCCTCATGTCCCATCGATTATTTTAATTGTTCCCCAGCATACACTGGAGACACCAATTATATCTGTTTCCTGCTGCCTGGCCAGGAGCCTGGCTCAGCCACTTTCATTGCATTAGCATCGAGACAGCTTTCCTTTGGACTCCTAATGGAGCTCCCACCCCCTCCTCCTGCATCCTGGAGTGGCCAAGGAGCCTTCCCTTGGGCAGGAGATGTGGGAAATGGTTGTCTGGGCACTTCTGTCCAGACAGCAAGGCCCACCTCACAACCAGCCACCCCCACCATGGGTGCTTACCACCCTGCTGCTGCCAGGACGTGGCTCTTGTCTTCCCATGGCACAGATGATGCCCAGTAAACCAGGGGTTTAGCACTTACCCTTTCTTTGCCACTGATTTCCAGTTGTATCTCCTTCTCTCTCAGCTTCTTCCACTGAGTGTAATACTTGGTCAGAGGTGTCCCCTCCTCTTTGACCTGCTTCTCCCATTGTTCCTGGGGAGAGAAGGGGGTACAAATTTAAAGGTTTTCAAAGCACTTTTCCATTTTGGCAGACACAGGGAGTCAAGAGCACAAGGTTAAGATCCTTTCCCAAACCACACTTTCCCAGCTTATGGATAGAAGTTGGCAACCACAACTAAGAATGCAAGGAGGGCTAAGTGTGACTTCAGCCACAGTTATTTAAGCAACCACTGAGCCAGAAGTGGTTGTGACTGACAGCTCTCCTTAGGCAAAGCAATGCTTGAGCACTGCAGGGAAACCAGAGGAAGCCAAAAGCTGAAAGGGACAGGTTGGACAATGAAACAGCTTAATAATGTGATGCCAAAGCACAGGACACCAGTGGCACTGAAGGACAGCATGGAGTCCTCACAAAGGAGCATCCATGGTGGTTTATATGATGGAAGATCAGAGTGTTTCAGTGTGAAATGTGGGTTCCCAGATTCCTATTTCTGCCTTCTAGGCGAGGCCTGATTCTCAGAGTTGCTGAGAACTCACAAAAGGTTCTCCTAAAATGAGTCAATGCCCCCTGGGATCCACTGTTACTCTCCTGGCCTTGAACATTCACTTCTGCTCTGGCTGCAGTAAGATGATGCCAACAAAGAAGTCAAGGCAGATGATGCAGCTGCTGTACTGGGAAAGGAACTACTTCAGCTGAAACTTGAAGGGAGGAATAAAAAAGGGACAGACCAGAGGATCTGTCAGGACCAAATCTCTATTCCCTGCTCCTTCAATGAAGGCATCTGATCACCTGCTCAGTCCTTGCTTTTAATTCAGGAAAACATCACACGAGCTCTTACAAGCTCTAAGTACCAAAAATGTCTGATTGCCTGTTCCCCCTGTTCCACAGCCAAGTGTTTATTTTTGAAACAAACATTCCCCTGCAGGGTCTTGGACTCATCCCAGCCTGGAGAGAGCAGAGCATGAAGAAGTGCAGAGCCTGTTTTCCGCTGCCCAAGCGGGGAGAATAAGGAGGTGCAGACACCCTGACTGGTGGGAAGCCAATTAAATGGTTAAAAATTCCTTTATGCTTCAATCATCTGGCATGTCAGTGCTGAAAGGGGGTGCTGCTATGTCATATTAGAAACATTCTTCTTAACCTGCCAACATCCCTTTACTAAAAACCCCCACAGAACTGTTACCTGGATCACCACAGAGCCCAGAGGCTTTGCATTACCCCACAGTAAAAAAAGTCAACCTAATCTAAGCAGAAAGACATGACATATAGTAAGTAGGAATTGAAACAGGCAGAGGAGGAAGGGAATGAGCAACAGGAATAAAGCTTAGCATAGATACACCCAAAGGTCAGCACAGATCCAAAAGGAGTATCCTGAATCTAGGGCTGGGAAAACTCCAGAGCTCTGTATGGGCAGCTGTGTGTACACAATGCTCCTCACCAGGGGTGAGAATGAAAAGCCAGACCATCCTCACAGCAGAAAACACGGCAGCAGCTTAAATATTCTTCAGCAGATCTCAAATCAACTGCTCCTGGGGAGTTGAGCCCCAAAAGGAGGGAGCTGTGGGGTGGAGGCTGCAGGCTGTGAGCCAAGGCATGGGGAGAGGGTTGGCTGAAGAGCAGGACTGTGCATGGACAGCAGCACAGAGCCCCCAGCTCACGCCAGGAACCAAGCACTCAGTCTGTGCTGTGAAGGGAAATGCACCAGCCTACACCAGGTCCTGACTTGGCCCATCCCTGGGAGGGAAGTGGAGGTGACCTGTGGTCTCTGCTGCTGGTACCAGGCGCTGAGCTCGGCAATCAAACATCACCCAGCTCCAACAGCACATTTATGCACCTGCAACAGGCACCATCCACACTGCACCGAGCCAAACACTCCCTTTCTGGGAATCTCAGGCCCAGGCTCCCAATCCCCCTCCCCCAGGACTGTTTGTAGCATGTCTCCAGGTCTGCAGGGCTGGTGCCTGTGTCTCCTCCCCAGCAGCACGGCCGATGTGCCAACACCAGCCTGCAGACCCAGCACAGCTTCCCTGCCCACCCAACCCACCCCTCTGGCCAGAGCAGCAATTCCTGAGCAGCACAAAGGCACCCCACTTATAGATTGGGCTCTGCTCGTGCTGCCAGCTGTAATCAGGTGATTTGTTGAGGCTGCTTGGTATGGACAGCTTCTGAGAAAGGCTCTTCTTACAGAGAGGGAAGTGTTTGTTCTGCCTGATACAGCTCTTTTGGTTTGCAAGTGTGCTGGAACCCAGAGATAAAAAAGACCATTAAAACAATCGCATTTGTCTAGTCAGAACACCTCAGTGGGAATTTTGAGAGAGGGGATGCCATCCCACCCACTTTAACCTTTTGGAATTCTCCTTCTATTGCAGCTTTTGCATCGCTGTGCTGTCAGGGGACACCCCACATGGCCTAAACCCTGCACAGCAACAAAAATATCATCCTCCACCCTCCAGAAAAGCTTTCAATCTGAGATGTGAGATGGGGATGAACCAAGAAGATCTGTAAATCCCACGGAAAGGAGGCAAAGCTTTCCACCAGCTCACTCCCTCACCTCCCCTTTCATGAAGCGTGACAGCCTGAGGGGCTGCACTGCTCTCAAAACGAGGGGTCCCCAGCTCAGTACAGGGGTCTGATGGGGAGCCCAGCACATACTGCAGGTCCTTCTCCTTCCCTGCATCTTCCCCTGCCAATCCAGGGCCCACACCAGTGTAGAGGAACCAAAAATCACAGCAGCACATTAAGCATCTGGATCCAACTTCAGCTGCAGGCTCCACTTTTCTTGGCTCCCTCTCATAAAGACCTTAATTATTATAGTAACCTATTAGCACTGTGCTCTCAAAAAAAAAGCACTGGCTCTTCATTCTTAACAATGACAATAAAAAAGTAAAGTTCTCAAAATAATAAGGATGAAGTCAATGCTGTGGGGTTGGAATGTTTAACTTGACATGGAAGGACTGTGGAAGGATCCCTCCTCATATCCCAGGAACTGTGGTATGGAGGGACATGCACACCAGATGTGTTCAGCCTAAGTTCAATCCCCAGGGACTCTTTGAAAGAGTCCCTCAGGTAAAATCCCCCTTTCCAAAGCACACCCACCACTCTGTAATTCCCCATGACAGCCACATTTTGGCACATTGCCGAAAGAATTAGCTTAGAATTTAGACTTCCACAGTGGAACAAGGACAAATGCATGGGAAAACCAGAGAGCATTTGCTTTCAATTGCTCCTGCTGGCAAGGGGGACATGCACATACCTCCCCTTCCCTCAGCCCTCCTTCCCTTCCCTTCTCTGGCAGTGTTTGCTCAGGAGAGGTGCCAATGCCCCACACAGCTTGGAAACAACCCAGACTTCGAGGGACACTCCAAATCCTTTTGGGAAGCCCAGCCTCCATAGGAGCTTTAGCCCTTCTTGGGAATCTACACCATCTGCTTGCAAAGGTGTAAGGGGGAAACACAGGCCCAGCCTGGGTTCTGGGCACAAAAGATAAGCCACTATGGCTTTTCCACCCCACAGAAGTGCTGAGTGGGCTGTTTCCTCTGCTCCCAGGAGCACTGATATCCCGGGAAATGAAGGGAAGGCTCCCTCCTCCCACAGGACAACACCACAGTGGTGCAGAAATGCAGTTTGCACAGGCAATCCTGGCGTCCTCCATGAGCAGCACTTCACACTTCGCTCTATCCCCTGAAATGGCAGAACAGCAGTCCCCAAACCTGCCTGGCAAACTGGTGTCCTTCCCTTAACCAGCCTCCTTTACTCAAGGCAGGTGCCTGTTGATGCCAGTTCAGAGCCAGCCCCTCCTGATTCACACTGATGTCACCCAGACATCCCTGGGAAAGCAGGTGCACCAACCAGGAGACACCCAGGCAAGCAAGATGTTAAAATAATCATTTGGTTCTTACACAAGGCACTGCAGCCAGAGCTGCTGGGAAAAGCAGACAGTGGCAGAGTTGTTGGAAACCCTGTTTTTGTTTAGCTAAAGACCTTCCCCAGCTCATCCATTTCGTGGAGAGCCCGGGAGGTTGAAATCTCTGCCTCTGCAGTGGGTGGGTGGTCACAGCACTGCCCACAAAAATACAAACCAACAAACCCCAGACTGCCTCGCTCCAGACGGGACACAAACCAGCCCAACCCAGACTGGCATTTACAGAACCAAAGACTGCTTAGTCACGTCAAACCCAGTCCCACCAAACCCCTTCATCCCAGAATAGCACTGCTGTGTCCTGGCACTGATATGCCAGGATTTCAGTGGCTGATCTTCCTGCAGTCTCTGCCCCTCAGTGTCTGCAGACACATTAGTCTGCACTGCACTGCTGCTCCGTGCTCAGCTCCATGCCAACGGGTGGAGCTTCCAATGATGCAGAACTCCAGACTTTCCAATAAACCATGTGGCCACAGAGACTGCTCTGACCCGTCAATCACCTTGCAGACAGAGATATTTTCACCTCCCTCCTGCCAGGCAAGGAAGAGCCAGTCTCCCTACTTCCTCTCACAGAGAGGACACACACAGCTCACCCGTTATCGGGCTTGTAGAGGTGGCAGAATCCCCCCAACACTTTGGGTACCTTCCTCATCAGGAATGGGATGATGAAAGAAAATGTCCCAGCAAAGGCAATGCCCCAGCAAAGCAAGGCATTTCCATGCCATGTGTGTGCTTTACAAACAACAGAAGGATACAATTTATGGGCTGTGTTTTCCATGAGGCTTTTGGCTGCTCAGCCTTGCCGGGGCTCGGTTGTTTGTGAACATCTGCCCCACCGTTTCCAGGATCTCCTCCTCCTCCTCCTCCCCCCGCTGCCACAAGCTCAGCCCAGCATCCAGAGCCTGGCTGCCTTTCCAGGAAGGCCACATGGAAGCAGCAGGACTCACCACAGCCTCCCTGCTGGCCACGCCGAAGGCGGCTCTCTGGCGCTTGCTGGAGATGTAGGCAGAGTTTTCCTGCAGCTTCTCCAGGAGCTGCCGGATGGGCCTGCAGTAGTTGGCAACCTTGCACTCCTTCAGGAAGGATTTCAGCTGGGAGGAGGAAAAGGAGAGGAAGAATGAAAGCAATATGAGAGTTTTCATAAACAGCAAAAAGAAAAAGCATTTCCCACCCGCGGTGACAGCACGGGGCATCTTTTCCCTTTAATTCATCCCATATTTCAGGGCATCACCCAGATCAGGCCTGGGGGTCCTGCCTCCCTGGGCTGGGAGGGTGCAAAGAGCTGCAGTGACGGGCCAGATGTTTCTGTGTTACCCACAGCAGGGGCCTTGCTCAAAACCAGCTCTTCTGCACCCTGTAACACTACTTTGTTCTGAAAAAGATGGATCAGTGGAGTTCAAGCAGCCAGGAGGAAAAAGTCTGTGCTCTTGGGGCTTCAACTTCCAGCTGCTGTTGCAGTTACAACAGCTCTGTCTCCTGCTCTGTCACATAATGAGGAGGACTGTGGACCAGATGCATGAAGACCAGGAATAACAGTGGATACTAAATGGCCAGAGGCCTAGGGAAGCCAGGATTGGAATGGGGAAAGCTGTCTGTGGGGAACATCAGTTGATATTGGGATGGGAATATCAAATACAGTGGGCTGTGGGTGAGGCTGATGGCTGGGACTGAAGGCAGAGTTTGAAAAGAGGTTTAAAATTGGGGTGGGGGTGTGTGTGGGCTGGGAGTAAGGGCCTTTAGCATCCTTTGGTGGGAAAACTTGGTGCTGCTCCAGGTGGGTCAGGACAGAGTCAGCAGGGCTGACTCTGGCTCCATGTCTGAGTGCACCAACCCGGCTCCAACTGGCACCACTGACTTTTCAAGGGTTCAAACCCACACCCCCACCACATAAAAATCTACAAAATAACTCTCCAACACCACTGCACTGCTCTGACACCTCCAAGATAAAAGCTGAGGCAGCAGTGGATGCTCCTGATGACAGAATGAAAGATGGGGGTGTCCACATTGACTCATGCCTTGAATTCCACTTGACTACTCTGTCTGCTAACAGTTTTCACCAACTCCAAGACAAGCCTCTGGAGTGCTGTCCAAATTCTGCAGGTCAAGCTCTTTGCTAGACCCATATATAAATACACACACACACACACACACACACACTACACAGACACTTGATTTAGAGAAAGAGATCCAATAAGGCAAAAGAAAATGGTTAACCACAATGGAACCTTCATCTCAGCTGGGGCCTGCAGATGCTATCATGATAGAGATAAAGGGTTTCCAGTCAGCAAATACATTACTGCCTCCCCTACTCATGGCTTCAAATGTTCTGCCTCAAAAGACAGAACTGGGGGAAGGATGAAGATGTCTCCCTCCTGTGAAGCCTTGGCTTGATCTTACATGCCAAGTGGGGAGGTATTAAATGTTAATCAAGAGGTGACAGTCACACCCAGCCCCTCTCTGCCAGGGCACTGCTCTCCTGATGGGTATGTTGCTGCAGGACCTGCTGTCTGTGACACACATGGAGGATCTCCCCCATTAACCAGCAGCAGGGGCTTCCCTTGTCCCTTTATCCCCAGCACACACCCACCTGCCATCACACAACCATCTCAGAAAAATGGGATTTAAAACAGAGACCTTCCCTGCTTTCCACAAAGCACACAGCCCATCAAACCAGTACAAAGAAACCATCAGCAAAACTATTCTCCTGCTGACGAAGCCTGTCCTACCCTCACTCCCCCCCCCTTTCTAAAATATTTATTTTTTTATAGGTGCTGCATATTTATCTCCACTGAGAGATGCATTTGTCATTCGATTTATCTCACTTGATCCCCACAGCTGCAGCCCCAGATCCATTTCATCCGCTGCCACATACATTATCATTTTTCTTCCCTTGCAGAAGTGTCACCAGAAATCCTGCGAAATCTCAGGCTCTATCAGTGCAGTTTGGTGCTGTGTGTTTGCTCTCACAGCCCCTGTGCTTCATTTCTGCTTCCCCCCCCTCCTCCTCTCTCCCAGCCTTGCAATCCCTCACAGTCCCACCACTATCTGCCACAGATATTAATGAAACGTAATGAGATCTCAGTCCCGTGTTAAGAGGCAGGGAACACAACCAGGGAGGTAAAAGAAGATAAAGGACAGAGAGAGAAAAAGGGTCTGTGTATGCCTTTTCCCGCTCTGCCAAATATAAGTCATATCTTTCCAGAATAAAAGCAGTCAGGACATAAATGTGTGTGGATATATGTCATTAAGATCTCCCACCCCAGCTAAGCAGCTCTGTGATTAGTGGGATTGATTCTGTCTAACTGCCAACCAAAGGTTTACACCAGCAGAGACCACAGCAAAACCCCAGCTCCTCTTACTGTAAGTGATGCAGGAAACTAGAAATGATCTGAAGCGGCTGGGCACGTCCTGCAGGGAACCCAAATCATGCCCAAACCCCTGCTCACAAAAAGCAGGAGGAGTATTGAACTGGGGACAGAATGAGCAGCAGCAGGAGTGGCTGCTGGCAAGGCAGCCCAGCACCTCCTGCCCTTCTGTCTCGCTGCAAGCCAAGCCTGGATTGTGCCATCTCCTGCCTCCACCAGCACTGCCTACCCCTCAGCAGTGCCAGTTTTTCCCCCCTCTAACTTCCCACCTCTGCTCTGTGATGCCTGTCAGGGCTCTAGAGGAGGGAGGAGGCTCTTCCAAGCATCCAGAGGCTCTGCACTGAGCTCCTCACCAGCCCATGGAGGCAGTGACCACCACGGGGTCGCCCAAGGGGCAAGAACAGCAGCTTTGAACCACCTCCTGTCCCCCCCGGGCTCTCCTTTCCTTTGATCTGCCGGGGGTGCTTCCTGCCTTCCAGGCAAGGAGGAGGTTGGAAAGTTGAGTCTGAAGGTAGTTCAGCCCAGCTTCTCCCAGACCCACTGACCAGAGGAGGAGGAGGAGGAGGAGGAAGGCAGCCCTGGCCAGCTGGAACGCAGCCCCCGCGCGACGGCGCTGAGAGAAGCATGAGCTCACCAGGGAGGGAGTGTCAGGACAGATGGATTTTTACAGTTAACTGGAATTGCTCCAGGAGAAAAGCCTCTCCCCCCTCCCCAGGCCTTCCCGAAGGCTCCGAGATTTTGGGAAGCTAAACCTCAAGCACCCCAGCCCGGCAGACGCCACGAGGCTGCGGTTAGTGGCAGCCAAAGAGGAACCTGATAGCATCAATCCTCTGCAGGAACCCAGGCTGGTCCCAGGGTGTGTTTGGAAGCCACGAGGTGCTTGGTGCCAGAGGGCCATCAGCCGCTTCTCACTCCAGCCAGAACATCGGCTCCGACAGCTCCGATGCTCCCAATAGCTGCTGGCTGGGAGGAGAGGGCCTTGTCTGCTGCCAAAAAAGTGAGGAGCACGCACAGCCAGCGAGCACAGGAGCTGCTCTGATGCACAGAGAGGGCCTGTCAGCTCACATTAGCCAAGGCAGCCCCTGCCAGCCAGCGCTGGGCCGTGCCAGGCTGGCGGCCCTGGCCAAGAGCCGTGTGCCTGACAGATGCCAGGCTGCTGCACACACGGAGATCTGCCTCCCAAGCAGCCCGAGGGGCACAACCACTGCTCCCATGCCAACCAGAGGTATGACAGCAACAAGGTGTGCAGGCACACAGGGGCTCATGGCAGGCACCAAACAAGCTGGGGTTCATGTCCCTGTGGAGGGCAGGACAGCAGCCTTCTGCCAAAGCTGTGTGGCACCTGCCACTCCTGAGTGAGAACAGAGAGGGCTGGAGGAAGGGAGGGAACATGTTTCAGAATATTTACACTGAACAGTGCTGTTTGCAGCTTCCTCATGAGGGGCAGCACTGGATCCCTGCTCTTTGTGGCCAGTGACAGGACCTGAGGGAATGGCTGGAGTTGTGTCAGGGGAGGATTAGGTCGGATTCCAGGAAAAGGTTCTTCCCCCAGAAGGCACTGACCAGGCTCCCCAGGGCAGTGGGCACAGCCCCAAGGCTGCCAGAGCAGCCAGAGAGTTTGGACAATGCTCTGAGGGACAGGGTGGGATTGCTGATCCTCATGGGTCCCTTCCAAATCACAATATTCTCTGATTCAATAATAATCTTACTGTTCAAAACAGAGAGGTCACGGCTCATTCAAAACTGGAGTCACTCAGCCAGCAAGGCATCAGGAAAGGATGATGCACAGTAGGGATGCACTGCACTATTGTGGACAGTAAGGTACAAAACCATAGAAGTGGCTAGGAAGAGTACCCTGCACCATGGAATGCCAGGGGAGAGGCAAAGGAGACTGCTGTGCAGCACTGCTGTGAGGGGCAGCAAGGAGGAGGGATGGAGACAAGAATTGCACTGCTGTGTGGAGGGACTGGGGAGAAAGTGCCCCGGTGGCTGGAGAAAGGAGGGAACATTGCCATCTTGTGGAGAGCACCTCAGGGAGGCTGAAGGCAAGGAAAAGCACGGGCTCAGAGCACAGGTACTGCTCTGAGACCACACAGCAATTCAGACAACTCTGAATGCCAAGAACTCACCTGAGTTCCCCATCCCAAACCCCATTCCCACAGCAGTCATGCAGCCTCTGCTCCACTTTGGTTCCCCAACAGAGTGGCAAACTCCACAGCCACTTTCACCTACCTTCAGCCTCCTACTTAGATGTGATGCCTCTATTCCTCCTCAAGAACTCCCCAAAACACAAATGAAAATTAAGATTAAAAGGTAAACGGCTCTCCCCTCATTTTGAGGGCCATCCTGAGTTCACTGTCAGCTTCAATGACTTTATCCCTGCCCTGTGCACACTCATGGCATGAACAAGAAGTGTTTCACACCTTACCTGAATGACAGTGGGCAGAACCAGCTCTGGGAACCCAATGCTGTGGGCTTGGCTGTGGAGATACTCAAGCATCAGGTCATAGAGCTGGTCAATGAGTCCATCCTGAGCAGGAGAAACAGAAATAAAGATATTGCATAGGAACCAAACCCTACAGTGGTTGGGAAAGGAGTCTCCAGCCTTATGGGACAGGGCACAGAGGTCATTGTGTGCTGCTCTGTGGGTCCCAGAGAAGCTGCTGAGGTTACTTACTCTGTAGTAACACTTACTCTGAAGGCCTTTTCCTGCAGGTTGGCATTGGAAAGCTTCAAGATCACGGCGAAGTTTATGGGCTTGGAACTCATTCGCCCTGGCTTCTTGTTGAAATCCACTTGTTGGAAGACCTAGAGGAGAAAAAAACGACTGTAAAGACGATCACGCCACAAAACAAACACCAAAGGACTCAAATGAGATCGTGCAGTTGGTGGCAGAGCTGAGGAGACAATCCAGAAACCCTGATTCCTGCTCACCTGCTCTGATCACCGTCCCACAGCTTTCCTAAATATCCAAGAGATACTTAGGGGACAGTCAGGGAGCAGATACCAACCACACTTGGAGCTTCAGAGACCCAAGTGAGAAAGATGTCACAGAAGTGTGAGGTAAAAGGAGACAAACACAAGCAACAGCACAAGAAACTGGAGGTTTGTTCCTCAGCCTCACGTTTCTAACAGTCAGAAAGATCAGACCTCAGTGCCTTAAGCTGTCCCTTAAGGTAAGAAGATTTTTCAACAGCAAGGCCAAACATTGCTTACACCAAACCCATAACCCTGCCACTATCACTGAAAAGATTGTCCCAGGAAGCAAAGACCAGTAAGCCCTTTGCAAAAACACCCCTTGCACCACTTATAGCTGAACAGCCTTTCAATACATGCATATTACTCTCCACAGACAAATTCTATTTTATAGCAAGAGACTTGGAGAAAAAAGAGCCTCCTCCCCGAGTCTGAGAGGAGACCCTGCACCCTTCCCATCAAAATGATGACACAAGCTCCAGGGCACAGCTGGATGCCCAGCAGACTCGTGTATAAATGTCCAAAGGCAGACCTGCACCTTTGCTTTTGTGTTTTTCCAGAGCTTGTCTAATGATAATGGCTGGGGGAGAGGAGGATTTGTGGAACAGAAGGTCATGGTAAAAAGCCATGAGAGAAGTTCATGTATATGTGTGTGACTGTTTCTCCAGGGTGGCATCTCAAATTTGATTTTAACTCAACGCCATTATTGCCTTAAAACTTCAACAAATTGTAATCAAGAGCAACAACTACAAAAGGGTTTTCTCAAATTCTTTTTGGGGGAGTTTCCCAACTTCACTGGGGGAATGGCAGCATGAGCCAGGTAGGGCCAGGATCTGCCTTGGTCTCTGGGCAGACAGCAGGGTACACTGTCCCAATACCCTGTGTGTTGGGCACTTCTTCCTCTGAAGGTGGGATACAGGGACAAGTAAAAGGGTTATAAAACGAGCAGCAATACAAATATGCCCTTTCCCAGCCTGTCAGGGACAGAGGGAAAGATGGTAAGAATGTAAAAAAAACCCCAGATTCCCAGAGATCCCCATCAGGGGCTCACAAGTTGCAATCAAGGGAGGTGTTCACTGGCAATAGGAACTAATAAAAAGAAAAATAAAAAAATGAGCCAACAATTGGTAACATTTGCATATCTGATGACAACCATTGAGGGAATAAGGAGCACATCCTGTCCACCCACACTTCTGAGCACACCTCAAGAGCAGCTGACAGCTCCTCTCCCTGTGCCCAACGCTTTTAAATTGCACTCCTGAGCAGGAAATAATTTCCATTCCCTCTATGCAGCAGCAACACATCCATCATCAGACCCCAAGCAGCCCAGCAAGGTGGGGATGCAGCACACACTGATTGCTCCAGGGTGAGGTGAGAAGGAAAGGGAGGGTGTTCAGGTCACACCGGTGCCCCCGGGCCAGAAAAGCATGGAGACGACTATTGATTTTTTTACATTTTATTTGTCAATCCAGGTTATTTGGAAGGGAGGGACAAGCTTGGTGGCTTGTGAAAACAAAGAGCCCTTGCCTAGGGAATCGATGCTATAAACCTCGTTATGCACCGTTATTTCTTTGGCCAAAACAGGAGTATTGATCCCCGAGGTCAGACACATTAAAGCGAGAGGAGTCGGGCTCGGTGGGATCCCAACATGCCTCCAGGCAAGCAGGGAAATGCAACCAGAGGCTTTGGAACTCACTCAGGAGGAGCTGGGGAGCCAGGTCAGGACGTGTAGGGAAGGGGAAAAAAAAAAAATGTGGTTCCCATCTTAAAAGACTGCGCAGAACAGATCAGCTACCAGGGAGACTGAGGGAGAGCATGACTGATGTCTAGGAATCCTGTGGCAGGGTGGGAAGGTGATAATGAGGGACTAGAGGGCCACAGAACGTCACAAGCCAGCAGTTTGGCTGAAGTGATAACCACTAGCAGACAGAGGAAAGGACAGGGCAGCACAGGCAGGAAGGAGGAGGATTTTTGGCACTCCCAGGCTCACAGATGTCTTCCATGTGGGCAGTGAGAAGGGAGCTGGAATGCACAGTTTACACTGCCAGAGTGCAAACCAGAGAACCAGCCCTGCACCACAGCACTGCCACTCTGTCACCCCATCCCTTTTCCTTCTCTCAGGCTCTAGGAAAAGCCTCCTGGCATCTGCTTTGATCACCCCAAAGCTGGATGCCCTGGACCAGCTCACAGCAGGGACATTACTGGGCCTGCAGCTTTCCCTCAGGTCTGTCAGTCACTTCTGTCTCTCACTTCACTGAGGGAAGGGCTCAGTCTAGTTAAGCTGCTCAGGCAAAGTCCAATTTCAGCTGGTCACAAACATTAAAAGGTTGGAAGTCACCCTGCAAGTCACCTCAAATAGGTACCTCAGGGCCATGTCCAGTCAGATCTGGATGTCTCCAAGGACAGACACTCCATTATTTATCTAGGCAATCTGTTCTAACATCACCATATAAAATTGTTGGGGTAGTTTTTTCCCCTCCAGTGTATAAGTCAGGCCTCCTGTATTTCATTTTCTGTGTAGTGCAGGACACTTATCTGGTGTATCAGCTCCTCCAAACTTCACATCATCTGCAAGTTTGCTGATGGTGCCACTCTGCCCAACTATTCAAACCCTTAATGAATAAGATAACCAGTATCAGCCCCAGTATCAATCCCTGGGGTGGGTGGTTGGCCTCTAGCTGGATTTCAAGCCACTGATCAGAGCAGGAGCCTGGAAGTTCAGCCAGGAAATTCAGCTGTCAATACACCTGCCTGCTTATCCAGTCTGCAATTCATCAGCTTGTCTTGTGAGGAAGTTCTGGGAGATGGTATCCAAAAAACCTTGACAAAGAGAAGATAAACAGCATGCACTGCTCTCCCCTCATGCACTGAGCCAATCCTCTCAGTGCAGAAGCCCATTAGATTGGTCAGGCATGATTTCCTTCAACAGCCTTGGTACCTGCAGGGCTGTGATCCAGAATTTAAGAGCTGCAATACAAGGGTGGAGGGAAGAGAATGAGGAAAAGGGAAAAATAAGTCTTCAGTTGGTGCAGCTTTGTCTAAAGTTCCCGTTTTTCCTCTCAGTGTAAAGGAGACAAGAGTCCATGTCTTGTAGAAAACACAAGATCTGTGTTTTAAACAGACCAGTGTTCAAATGTATGGCAATGTCCAGCTTTATCCATTCTCCAATCTTCACATCAGCTGATTTTCTGCAAAACATTCCACTGCCCACTCTCATATATGTTGCTCTCCAAGCCCCTGGGAATTTTCTCCAAAACAAGACTCCAGCCATTTAAGTGTCAAAGTGAAACACTCCTGGCCTTCCTGAGCATGTCAGGGTTAACCTACTCTGCCATCCCTCTGCAGGGGAAGCCAGGTTTAAATTGGCATGCAAAGTCTGCCTGGGGGGAGATTTCTACCTTGTCTATCCACACCTGCCTTCCAGCAGATGAGCCACCAATTTTCCTGCTGCAGAAGCCAGTGGCTGTCACACAATAAGTGAAGCGATGAAAAAAGGAAGATTGAGATCTCACAGGCCTTTCAAGGGGAGTAACGGTACAAAAATAAACCCCTGCCTGCTCTCCACTCCTCTCCCAAGCCACCTCTTCCTATCTAAGATGCAATTTTAGCAAAGCTGCTGCTTTTGCTCCATCTTGGAAAGCAGAGTCAGAGAGGAGACGGCGCTGGATGCCCACACTGGGGAGCATCAGCCCTTGTCAAGACGCATCAAGCAGCCAGCTCTCATTTCCACTGGCAGGGGCTTGGGGAATTCCTGTGCCTCTGGGAATGCACAAATGCTCAATCTGTGCCTCCTGAGCGTGCAGCAGCAATTCAGGGCTGCTGAGGGCTGAGACAAGAGGCAGCAAGGACTTGGTTTCCTCGGTGGAGAAGGGAAATGCCGAGTTACACAGTCACTTCTTACACGAGCAGCTTCACAGAATCTACACTCTCAGGCCACATAGAGCCCTCTCCAAAAAGTGCACAAAACACAGGGTCACGAACTCCACAGCTGTTCTTTTCCTGCACTTGGATTCAGCTGAAACAGTGACAGGGTAGTTTTTCTCCTTCCCATCAAATGGAGCATAACCTATGCTGAGAAGGCTTTCCAGACCCAAATCATGCTCCCCAAGTGCACTCCTGTTTAGCACCAACATACTGATCACATCCTTCCATCCCATGATGGTTTGGATAATGGGCTTAAAATGGATTTTGGGTCATGGCATGGTGTAGAATATGACTAGTGTCTATTGACTTAGTCACTGCTCAGTTTGTGAGCTGGCACAAACAGGTTCATAGTCAAAGCACTATGGCTGGGCATCAGACTGCAGATTCTCCTCCCAGCATCACCACAGCCACCCTCAGACTTTGGACAGGTCACTTCCCACTTCCTGCCATCTCATCTGCACAGCTGGAATACAATTCCTGCTTGAAGACAGCTTGTGGAGACAGTCTAAGGGTTCTAAGAGTGTTCAGCTACCTCTGTGACAGAGAGGAGGAGGGAGTTGGGAAGAGACAGAAGTACAAAGGGAACAGTCCTGAATGCTCCTGGGAACTCCACAGACTAGTTGGGGGATCCCTTGCAGGAGACAGACAAGAAGGGAAAGGCTGACAGCTGCAGGGAGATTTGAGAGTTTAACATCGTGACAGTTACAGAAATCTTGGGTTACAGAAATTAAGGCACACATTTACCCTGCCCCCTTCTGTCACCACACCTGGACAAGCAGAGCCCAGCAGTGCCTCACAAACACACCCAGCAGGATGGGATGTGGTTGGGGGCTGGAGGAAGCTGGGAGGAAGCTCTGAGTGCAGTGTGGGAACATCTGGCCGGGGCCTGACACTCAGATTAGAGACGAGGTGTCGGGGCCAGGACACAAAGAGGGGGGAAAAGGCCCCGAGGGGAAAAAGTTTTACCTTTACAGCACTAAAAAGTAAAAAGCAGAGAGAGAATCCTCACCAGGACCTCAGAGGGGGGATGCCTCTCTCACAAAATCTGGTTGGCAGAGTTTCAAACACGCATGACCAAGGGGAAGGAAGCAGGGGAATGGCAAAGCCACACAGGTCGGGAGGAGGTTTATAAACATTGCTGCCTTCCTCAGGCTGAGGATGTGGTTTGCAAGGGACATTTATAACAACCCCAAACCACAAAGGCCTCTGCTTCAACAAAACCTGATTAGGAATGAGCCTGGCTGACTCAGGGCTATTATTATAGAAGCCTCCCTCCCTCCTCCTCCTCCTCCCTCAGTGTCCAGCCTCATGCTGACCTCCTGGGGCTCCCTGCATTCCTCACCCCGCCTTGCTCACACTTCTTCAGTGAAATTTGGCTGCAAAACTTCTGTGTTACCTTCTCACAGCAGCCAAACTAGAAAGACTGATGTGGAGAGATGTCAAATGTCTGATACATGGGAAAGCTGGATGGTCCCTTAATAGCAGTGTTTCACCAAACATACTCAATTTTGCCAGGTTACGCTCACAGAGATCTTTCTAAATAACTTTTAAATTCCTGAAGGGCTTTTTTCTTCCTATTCCCTTTGTCTGCAGTTAGGAAGAACCCCTCCTTTTTGCTAAGGCATGAACACAACAGCTTGGGGAGTCACTGCAACCAGCTCAACCAGCTGAGCCTCTGAATCTCTTCTTTGGCAACCCCTGTTTCCCACTCCAGCTGCATCAGTGAAACCACCAAGGAACATATTTTTGCACCCAGGTGATCTCAGGTGCAACTCACAGGCCAATAAAAGTTTAATCCTATTTGCCCACCAAACAATACATTGTCTGATGCTGTTTGCCAGGGATTTTAGGGCAGTAAGAGAAGTGGGAAATCTCAGGAGCTGTTGGTGGGTGTAGTGAGTGTGTTTATTAGGCAGAAGGTGTCAGCAGGAACCAAACTAACCTCCAGGATAAATGGCAACACTGGGATGAAGGTCCTGGTGTTCTCAGACAGCAGGGTAAGGGCACGGATGCAGTGCATGCGCAGAGGGTAGAAACGGTTCGTTGGTACCAGCCTGGGGGGGAAAAGAAAGGATATTAGGCCAAGTTTATCCAGGAACTGCACCTGCAGCCTTCAGTGGCACTCAAGAGCCTTTCCTGCTCTGCTGAAGAAAGACAGCTTCAGTACTGCACAGCAAACTGAGCTATCCCACAGTGGGAAATAAAACTCACACGTTAAGGCTGTAACACTAACACGCAAATTCCTCTGACCAAAGCACAGGTTTCCCACAGCTTCTGCTGGGAGAAAGTGCTGCAAGAGCTTTGCAGATGAAGTTTTATCACTGATGCTGTTTAGTCAGGTTCAACATTTTTGGCTCTCATGCTCCCAGCATGGGGCAAGTGGCAGGAACCAGCAGTGAAATGACCATCTAAAGCAGCAAGTCTGGCCAAGGACAGAGCTCCCCCAGCACACCAGAGGAGGAAGAGGTTTCCCTTCTCAGGCTTTGTGCCCACAGAGTTCATGCTGACACTTGAACAGTGACCCTCTCAGTGTAGAAGGTCACTGGGGCAGGAGCTGGACTAGCAGTGACCAGCACATCTGGAAGGACAGAGTGACCTCCCACAACCAGATCTGTTCAGCTCTCTCCAACCCTCCTGAGCTATTCCCACCTCCTTCAGAGAGGCAACATGTACATTTGAACAGCCAGGAATCAGCATGGAGGAGGGGGAAGAGGCCAGACTTACTTTCACCTACATTTCAAATCATTACACACTCAGCTAATTAAGACAAAAGTTGAGCCAACTCCCTTTGTCAGGTTGGGACTGAGAAGGATCAGCTCCCCCAGCACCACATAAGCCAGGAGCAGAGGGGAGAATGGAGAGCAACCCCTAAAACACACCAGACCTCATTACTGTACCACTCTGGAAGCCTCTCACTCTGAATGACCTGCACTTGGGTGCCTCCAATATTAACAGGAGTTTTATTTTTTTAAAACACAGTTCACAGATGACAGGTTCAAGCTGATAAATGAACCCCTCCCCAAAGGGCTTGCTGAGCAATCCAAGAGAGCACAAAAAAAAAAAAAGAAGAGAAAATGCTTGACCAGGCACCATAAATCAACCTGCATCTCCCTCCCCTCCAAATAGTGAAATAATTATCATTGGATCCATTATAGAAATAAATCTACTTTGCACCCCTGATCTGGCACCACTGGAGATGACGAAAGCCATTCTCAGGAATTAATTGATCGAGGAATAAACCTGTTAAGTGTATAGATTTACTGTAAACCAAGACCATTAATTTTAGAGTGCGTGGCGATGCAACAATCTGCTCAACATCCCAGTGGTGGGATGCACAGGGAATACAAAACACAGCTGGGTCCCAGCTCTCCTGAGGGAGGTCCAACTGCCTTGTCAGTCCAGGGGGATCAAACTGACTCACATTTCATCTCAGTGGAGAGTGCCTCCAATGTCTTTCCATCACTGTGTCTTGGAATGCCTCCTGTACTTCTCCCATGCAGCCAGGACACAGGCTGTGGGGTTGGAACAGCCTAAAACTTCTCAAGGTTTATTTTTGCTTGCTACAGCTCCTTCTGTTACAGTCTTGGTGCCCACAGATGAAGCTTCTTTCAACATCAGCCTCTGCCCCACCAGCACAGGACACCAAGGGAAGTTGCTCAGGGACACTAAGGCTGTGCTTGCTTCCCTATGGAGGAAGTTGTACCTGCTTTCTTCCCTGTGTGTGCTGAGAGGCTGGAATTTAACAGGCATCAAAAATCCTCATTTAACTATACACCAGGGAGGAAGTTCCTTTTTATAGCTTAGGCTGGGAGCAAGGTAAGAACACAAGCAGATATGGACAGAAAACAAGTTTATGGAAAAGGGATACCAGAAAGGGAGATTCTGCTGCAAAAAACCAATCCAGATCTTGGACAGATGCAAGCACACGGATCAGGAGGAGGAGCTTATGGACTGAGGAGGCACACAGAAGGCCAGGGTGGCACATGGAGTGATCAGATCCCAGGGACAGACAGACACAGCCCGTGGTCACTGTCCTTGTGCTGGAGCCAAGCGCCACCTCCCGGCACAGAGGGCAGTGGGGAAGGGGACTCTCCTCCCATCCCTCTGGATAAATCACTACCCCACACCAGGAGCACAAGGGAAAGAAGGTATTCCAGATGTTACACAGCATCCTGCCCCATGGAGCCACGTCATTCCCACATCTTCTAACCTACTCCATTTTTATATATCCCAGACACTTGGCTGGCTCAGTAAGGAAACCAGGGTGGGATCTATTTCTACTTTCCTGAGCAGGATGGTTTGGGTTGGAAGGGACCTTAAAGATCATCCAGTTCCATCCCCTGCCATGGGCAGGGACACCTTCCACTAGCCCAGGTTGCTCAACCTGGCCTTGGACACTTCCAGGGATGGGGCAGCCACAGCTTCTCTGGGCAACCTGTGCCAGGGTCTCCCCACCCTCACAGGGAAGGATTCCTTCCTAATCTCTAATCTAAACCTCCTCTCTGCCAGTTTGAAGCCACTCCCCCTTGTCCTGGCACTCCAGGCTCTTGTAAAAAGTCTCTCTCCATCTTTCTTGTAGGTTCCCTTCAGGCACTGGAAGGCCACAATTAGGTCACCCCAAACCTCTAAAGCCTTGTCACACAGTGTCTGTAGCTCGTGCCAAGCAGCCCTGCCCATCACTGATTCCAACAAAACTGCTGAGACTGACCCAACTCACCTTCCCTTGGCCCCAGATACCTGATTTATCTGCCTGGAGAGGTAGAAAACTGCCCAGATTCATCCCCAGGACAACCAGAGCTCCGGAGGAGCAGTGGGAAGCAGCCTGTGGGCGAGGGGGGGATGGGAAGAGGGATGTTTGCATACTCTAACGATCGTTTAAATCTGCTTATCTTCACCACCACTTGGGAGTTTTTCCAAGGGCAGGCGGGTGGTGTTTTAAAGCTGAGAATCTGGTTAACAGAGCTAACAGGATTTTGGAGATCACCAGAGATTCTGGAATTCCCTCAATGCTCCTTATTAACAGCCCTTTCAAAGCACGGAAATTTCGTGTATGAACTGAGAAAGAAATTCTCAGCAGACACACTAAAAATAACAGCCAAGTCCCAGTTCTTCAAATTCTAACAAAGATGCAACAAAAATGCATCTTTTAACTGTGTTTACAGAGCTGGAGGTGAGGTTCTTGATTCTGCAGTTAAGATCCTGAAGCAAGACAGAACATTTTCCTTGCCACTATGTACAGTTGGGAAAATAACTGTCCAGGCTATTCAGACTGACACTTCTCTTATACACAGAATTTAGCCTAGGGAAGAATAACCTACACAGCAACTTCCTCACCACCTAAACACGCTCACAACACATCTTTGGCTGCAATGCTTCAGTCAAAAGCAGCTCTGACTCAATTCCTTGAAATGCAAGGTTAAATCCAAATCATGTAACAGCAACACCCCTCAGCAACTGCTCTGCATCAAGGAATGGACAAATATGGCCAAAAAGAAAAAAAATTCGACTTACTTTATACAGCCAATGATGACCTGTGTCAAAGGATAGATCAAGGGCTCCATGACCTCACTGGGATAGATTGTGCTGAGAACACGGCACCAGAAATACAGGCAGTGGATATACTGCCAGTTATAAACAGACTGGAAGTTCTCCTGCAGAAAAGGGAAAAATAAAAGGCACAAACTCGAAAACGTGGCGTTTTGAGAGGAACTCAACCCTGGTTTCTCCACAAGACTCATTTTATGCAGGACACTGCACTGCTCAGGGAGGAATAACCATTGTTGTACTGTCACTCTGAGAGCAGTGGCTGAGCCACCAGCCAGCCAAGTTCAGATGCTGCATTGGCAACGTTATGGTTTGGTACAAGTCAGTGCCTGAAGGAAATAATGTGAATAAAAGCAGGCTGGAGGTGTTGCTCAACTGTGGCTCCTTTGAGAAGGATGATTTCATGACCCAGCTCACAGCAGATGGGGGATGTGGCCAAGCACAGGAAATATTTAGCTGTTCACTGTCAAAGCAAAGACCAAATGATCATCCCAGCACTCCCTTCCCTGCTTTTGAAGACTACACTGCCCAGCACAGCTTCATTTTTTAAAACTGCAGGGTAAAAAAAAAAAATGACAAGCAGCAGAGCTGAGAACAAACTTTCAGCTTTGTTTTTCAGCTAGTCCTTCTGGTTACCAGCAAAAACCAAAGCAACAGGCCAGGAGTGTGCCTGACAGCAAAGGCACATTCACCCAACATTCCAGGCTGGCTTGGTAGCATGGCTAAGAGTGAGTCAAGCCTTGCCCCATTCCAGACTAAATAAAAGCCCAGAACAGAGCAGGAGTCTTTAAAGGACACCCTCCCCAAAACTGCATGAAGAAGAGAGGAGATAAAACTCAACAAGGTGCCTCAGCTCCCACTTGTGTTTGTTTCAGACTTTCAAGGCCCAGGTCATCTCTTCTTGGATAAGGAAGACGCACAAGGCTTGAAACAAGGACAGAAGCCCCCAATTGCAGCCACTGGACCAAACCTTGCAGGGGGGATTAAAGCCAAGCCACAGCTGGACATGGCAGAGCTCTGCCAGCTCTCACCAGGTCACTGAGATGGACCAAAAAGCTCTTCTCAGCTTCTCTCATACAAGGACAGACAAGCAATCTGCTCCTGTAATCACCTTGCACAACCATCCACTGCTCCATTTAAATAGGCTTATTGCTTGGATTTGTACATTTTGGTTGTGCTGTTCTCATTTAAAGTTCCACAGCCCTCCCCAGCTGTGAAATCAAGTGGATTTAGTTCTTGTCTGGACCAGAACTAAGGGTGTAAGAAGCCAGTGCAATCCAATTAGGGGATATGCAGCCCAGACTTCATTTATCTCTGCTTATTTATCCCCATGTCTGAACAGCCAGGAGATTTAGCTGGTCACCAATCCTGCCATGTTTGGGGGCAGCTGAACAATTAATCTAGTGGGGTCTGTTTTGCTAAACACGAATAAAGCCAGGATTAGCAATCTGACTTAGATTTCTGAGGTCAGACTAGAGGTGGCTGAAACCAGGGCTGCTCCCAAAAGGTCTGAGCTGCTTTGTTCAATTAAGTCTTTTAAATAGTGCAGACTTCTCTGGAGAGATGCACACACCAGGGTGGTTCCTAATCTTCTTTACCTTGAGGTTTTGTGACAGAGGCTGCCAAACAGCAGCTTCAGAGGGGAAAAAGGGTGCCCAAGGCACAAGATGGGAAGTGCATCACAGACTCTTGCAGGTGGGGAGAGAAAAGTGACTCCCACCCTGCAGTTCACAGAATCATGGAATGGTTTGGGTTGGAAAGGACCTTAAAGATCTTCTAGTTACAACACCCTGCTGTGGGCAGGGACACCTTCCACTAGACCAGGTTGCTCCAAGCCCCATCCAACCTGGCCTTGGACACTTCCGGGGATGGGGCAGCCACAGCCTCTCTGGGCAACCTGTGCCAGGGCCCCACCACCCTCACAGGGAAGGATTCCTTCCTAATCTCTAATCTAAACCTCCTCTCTGCAAGTTTGTAACAGTCTCTCCATCTTTCTTGTAGGTTCCCTTCAGGTACTGGAAGGCCACAATTAGGTCACCCCAGAGCCTTCTCTCTTCTCTCCTTCCTTGCTGAAATTCCACCACGGGCAACCCCGGAGCTCCAGCAGGTTATGAAACGGGCCAGGCAAGCGAGGCACCTTAGAGACACCACCAAAAGCCTGGAAGTGATGACTCCAGTTTCCCCTCTCCACACATTCCCTGCAGGAGGACACACTCCTTCCACCCCTGAGAGGTAACCCACCTTCTTCTTGATGGTCATGGCGCTGCGCAGGTGGATGGCGAGCTGGCGGATGTAGATGAAGGCGTGCTGGTAGGAGGTGTGGGTGTCCAGGGCAAACATCTCTGTCAGGGTGCGCTGCATGAAGTTGATCATGGGCAGGACGTTGGGAGAGGTGAACCTGGAGTTCTTCACAAAGGCAATGTACATTTGCTGTGCAGGGAAGAGGAGGAGATACGACCACGTGAAAACGCGGCGAGAAACATTCTTGCGCTGACCCTCCCCACCCAGGCGTGTCCAAACCAGGGGGGAAGTGTTCCTTTTATAAAGAAATATGCAAAAGTGATAATCCAGCCTGCTCCTTCTTTAGGGGGAGACAGGAAACAGTCTGTTTAGCACGCAGCTCCCACCACTGTTTGTCTGCAAGAAGAAAATCTCCCCACCCACGTATGTCCAAACCAGGGGGGAAGTGTTCCTGTTATCAGACAAGTCACTCCAAAAAAACATGCAAAAGCAGTAATCCAGCCTGCTCCTTCTTTAGGAGAGACAGGAAAGAGTCTCTTTAGCACAAAGCTCAGAGACCTCCCCACCACTGTTTGCCTGAAAGAAAAAAAACACTTGGTTTTCTTCGGAAGAACGCACTCGGGATGGTCTGAGCCATCCGTGCTTGTGGCTGGGCACAGTCCTCTTTCTTAGGTGCCACTGTCACAAAAAACTGCACTTGGGAACTTCAGGTGAAAGATCAGAGCAGCTCAGTTGTGTGGCAGCACTTCAGGAGAGCCCTGAAGAATTTGGAAGATGAGTATTCACCCAGTATGTAGATCAGAGTCTCTGTGCCTCCAGCAGGAAGGGCAGCAGCAGGAAGCAGATACCACTCTGACCTAACAGAATTTCTCCCTTGTTTAATTTTCTGGACACAGCCAGCATCATCTAATAGGTTGCAGCTCAATGCTTTAATTTTGCACATAACATGAGAAAGAAAAGCTGCAGATTAGAGCCAGCACCAGGCTTACCTTGAGCAAGGGACTCAGGTAAACCTCCTTCCTGTAGCGGCAGAACTTGTTCAGCACAAGGAAGGCCAGGACTCTCACTGTTTCCTCACCTGTGCTCCACAAAGTAATTGTTTGCTGGGATAAAACAGAAAGATAGAGATAAGTGAAGGGACAAAGAGCTCCTTCCTGGTTACACACAGGCCTGAGTTTCTCTCCTGTACACAAAAACAACAGCACTGGCAGCCCTTCTGTCCTTATACTCCAGCTGTGAGACCACAGAAACAGGTTGATGTTTTCACAATAAATAAAGGAAACTGTCCAAAACTAGCACCTCTGAAAAATACATGCACTTATTTGTGTGGCTGAATACTCTGAGCACAGGCACCAGCCTTGGATGTGACTCAGTCTCCCACAGATTCACTTGGCCATGGCTGGCCCTGTCAGGAAGAACCTGGTACAGCAGGACCACGATCATGGCTGATGCCTCCAGAAACCAGTTACCTCATCTGAACTAATGAACTCCACAGAACATCAGAAAGATTTCAGCAGCAGGGCTGAAAAAGCCTCCTCAGAAATCCCCAGAACAGCACTGAGCAGACTCCTACACCTCCAGCTATGAGGTGTCCCAACCTCCCACCCCTGTACACCAGTCATCTTTGTCATCAGAGGGTTCCCAGCCTCATTTAAATGTTGCAGTTTTTTCATTTAAATGTCACCCTGTTGCCCTCTTCATCTCTTCCACGCCTCCTTTGTTGTTCTTAATGCTCAGCAGTTGTGACTAAGTTTCTGTAAAAATATTCCACCCCCAGCTCTGGAGAGGGAAATGGTATCACAGCCGTTCCCAGCGCCTGGCACACAGGCAGCAATTACTCCATCTGTGAGGAGGCAGCAGACAGCTTCCCAAAACACCTCCCTGCCACTTAGGAGCAGCTACACAGAGCCACCTCCCACTCACCTCAGGCTAAGATCACCTCATGGCACCTGGGAGGCCTGTGAGAGAGGCAGGAATCCTCTCCAGAACCAAAAGCAGAGCAAGGGAATAGTACAAGAGACTGAACTGTCACAGGATCCAGCTCAAATACCACAAAAGGCTTGTTTGGAGGGGGGAAAAAGTGTACCTCAGATCCAAATGACACATCACAGCACATCCCCTCACCTTGAGAAGGGCACGGCACTGCTTTGGGAAGGATAAATAATAAGGCACGATGGAGTTGACGTGCTGGAGCACTGCTGCACCCACCGAGGCTTCTGTCAAACAGGACAGGAGCTGTGGAGGGAAAACAAAGTAACAATCCCATTTAGCATGCAGTCCTCACCACCTCTTCCTTCACCATCTGCATTTTGCTGCTTCCAAGTATTTCTGTGTCACTAAAAGACTGGAAGACCAGGCTTTGCTAGGAAGAGCTGTCTCAGGAAAGGAGCAGACACAAGGTGAGTTAAAAACTGCCCTGAAAGCACATCAGCCTGGCAAATGTGAGCTCAGCTCATCACACAGAACCTCATCTGTGTATACTGCAAAACCTAAGTCTATATGAAGTTTAAGGCATCTTGCAGATGGCATGACAGCAACACCTCTGTCATCTCACTACAAATGGTCAAAGGTGCCCTCAGTCTACACAAGGCTTGGAAATAAACCACCTGAGGTGATAACATACTGGATCACTGTTGGATTTCTTAAGGGGAAGCTGGAAAACTATTAGGTACCAAGAGGTTTACCTCAAGCAAAGGGTAAAACAAGCCATTAAGAAACAGCATCTTTGTATTTCCAGATTGCTCAGCCCAGTTCTCTGGAGCCAAACCCAGAGGTGTTGCAGCTTCTAATGTGAAGACATCCTGAACTCCAAGTCACTTTGAGAGAGGTTCTGCCTGATGCAGTGCCCCTCTGCCTGCAATCCCAGCTGCTGGGAAGCAGAGGCATGTTGTCTACTTTTAATTTTCTTCCTCACTCTCCTCCTTGCACTGCAAAGATTCTGGACTGAGCAGGTCTCCTCTGCAAAGTCCCTCACACACCACAAGGAAAGGAAAGGAAAGGAAAGGAGATATTGTTGACAAACTACTGTGCCAGAAGAAGCCCTGTGGTGAAGGCTGGCACTGAGGGCTCTCAGAGTCAGCACAGGAGCAGGGATTGCTCCAAGGCACTGCACTGCCAGCTTTTCCTTGTCTACTGCAATCCTCTGCTGCTGGCAGGAGGCACCACGACTTGAGAGAGAAAAAAAGCTCTACTGATCAAAATGTCCTTTCTGCTAAGTCATTCTCCAGCTTATAGCTAGGAGCACTGGCTTTCTCTCCTTGCATCCCCTGCCCTCAGCTTCTGAACAGTGAGTATTTCAACATTGTTCTTTTAATATTCTAACTTTGGGGATGCATGATGAAGCAATCTTAAAAAAAAAACAAACCAACAAACTGGGGGCAGGAGTTTCTTTCAGAAATAATCCATGAATTGTATCTGAAACAGCAGACATCAGCTATTCTGGGGATATATATTAATGTTCCATCCCTCTAGGATATGTCTTATGTGAGGTTATCAACATAACACCTTCTTAGTATTTACCTCAAGAACTGGCAAGGTCATAGTGCCAAAAACTGAATTAACAATGCAGAATTTAGGAGCACAGCACTGCAAGCTACTTTAAAGCCTATTAAATATTAATTTGTCAGACAAATTAAGACAGAAACAACTGCCAGAATGTTAATCCAACCCTTCTTTACTGGCTCCCTATTTTGACTCAACCATCCTACAGACCTCCAAAGTGTTAATTAGACCAAATGCTTCCACAAGACAGGGAACTGGATGAACACACCAATCTCAGATAGGCAAAAGCCCATCTGCCTCATCCCAAAACATCCCAAACAACAGCCCAGCAATGCACAGACTGACCCCAGGAACAGATTATGATGACATTTCTTACTTGTATGGTACAGCCAAGGTACGCTTTTACGTCCAGTCGCAGTTTGCCCCAGAGTGGGCTGGTGGAAGGGAGAACCAGCCTGGAAACGAGCAACAGTTGGGTTTAGCTTTAGAAAACCCACCAAATAAACCAGATTTCAGCAGCCAAACGAGCAGTGAGTTCAATTCCTTGATACTGCCAGTGAGTAACAACTGCTGGCAAAGCACAAACTGAGAGAAGTAAAAATTATGTCACGGGTGAGAAGAAATACTTCTACTCTGTAAAAACCGCCTGGAGCACGGCAGTAGAAAGTTCAATTCAAAGAACTTCCAAGCTTTCTCTGACCCTGCAGTTCCCAAATCCCCTCACACTTACTTTGCTTTCTTCTTTGGGGCCCTGGGAAGCAGCAGCTCCTGCAGGTAGTGGAAGAGGTCCCGGATACAGAAGGACACAAGGGCATTGAACACTGGTTAAAACAAAAGTCAGCAAAGCACTTGTAAATGATTTTCCACATATTCCTGGTTTCTCAGCTAGTGTGGAAAGAGCTCCCCAAGGAACTGAAGCAGTAATTGCCATAGCAGAACTGCTGTGTTTCCTCAAGCTCCAAGAAAACACCAGTTTGCCTTATCCTAGAATTTTTTTATCTGAAGAATAAGATTACAACTGACAGCTTTTAGCACAGGGGCCCTTCTCCAAGCAAACAGCACCAAGCACTGGGAGCCCAGAAAAGATTTTACTGCACAGACTCACCACCAGGAAGATAAGCTACTTAAGTGAAATGAAGCCTGTGAAAGGGTAAGTTAACTCCTGCCAGTGCTTATCTCCACTCTCTTCCAAGAGCTAAACTGCCCTACAAAAATCATTTCCCTCTCCTCACACAAGTGCAGTGAACTCACCTGCAGTATCAGTCACTTGGAACTTGCTGGGATCACCCTCACTGTCTCCTTTGGTGGTTGCTACAGCTGCTTTATAGGCTTGAGTGATTTCATGGAAGAGCCTTGGTGTCAGATTTCTCTGGGGAAAGAAGGAAAAGGATTGCTGAGGAGAAAAAAGCAACAGATCTTCTGAAACTCTAAAGCGCTTGAGTACTGAAATTCATTCTAAGTTTGATGGCAGAAATAGCTCTGATATGAAGGATAAAGGTCAGGACAGTGTTAATAAACACTAGTGGCCTTCACCTCCTCTAAAATTGGCTTTTAATTGCCTAGGGGTTGAGAAGCAATCAATCAGCTGCAATCCAATTGTGATCTTCCCTCCCCTCAGTCAGAAGGACAAGCCATTTCACTACTACTCAAAACGTGACCACAAAAGCTCTTGGAGCCTCCAAATGCACAATGCAAGAGGGTGAAAAATCAAAATGTTATCATTTTGGCCTCTTCTGAGCCACACGTTTCTCCAGGTTCTCCCTCCGATGGACTTCAAGCACTCCAACCTTGCAGTACAAGAAAAAATTGCACTGGAAAGTCATAGTGAAAAACAAGAGCTCTGGCAGCACGAGGCATAAATCTACTCTGTAGGTTTTTGTGCCTGTAAAAGATCAACTTGTGATTTGTTAATAACATATGTGGAACTGTGGTTAAAGGAGGACACTCAAGAGCTTTGTAGTCCAATTCCCCTGCTCACCTCTGCAGCTTTTTTCCAGTTTTCAACCATTTTCAGGCTCACAGTGATGAAAGAATCTCTCTTCTTTTTGACTTTTTCTTGTTCTTCCTCTTCTTCATCATCTTCATCACTTGCTTCCTAGAGAAGTCATAGCAAGACTGAGAAAAGGTTTCTACACTTCTGGCCCCACCTCTTTTGCTGAGCAGCTACTGAAGAGGAAGGCAGCCCTGATTTTATCAGTGCTGTTACCAGTACTTTGTGTAAGGAAAAAATGAAATTAGAGGTATTAAAAATTTAAAACAAAAAAAAAAAGCTCCTGAAGCTGTGCAGTTTTGCTACATAAATACGTCTTAATAATGTAAAACATCAAGGAGAAAACACATTACTTGAGGCAAAATTATTATTGGAAAAGATGACATAAAAACAAACAAAAAAATACCCTAGAAAGAAAAGCATTCACTAAAAAGAAAATACACTCTAAGGCTCTGCTTTGACAATCCTTAACAAACTTCTCGTGCTCAGTTCAAACCTCCAGCTGATTTCTGGATTACAACCTGTGAATGACCTTAAAAACTTCACATGAAAGTAACTGAATTAATTGACTCCAGCCCTCCAAAACATGCCCTGGTACCTCCAGTGTATCAGGGGGTCTGTGCAGTGGCTCCTCCTCATCAGAACTGTCGGAGGCATCAAAATCCAGCAACGCGCGATCGTTTTCCTCCAAAAACTTGTAGAACTCAGGATCTCTGTCCTTCAGCCTGGAGAGCTGATCCTTGTGTTCAGATGCCTTTCCTTTCCTCCTGGGGGATAAGGATTAACATTAATTAGCATTTATTCACCGCTCAGACTTTATTGATGTGTATTTATTAACTTTATTCACTGCTGACGCTGTAAGGAAAACAAGCAGCCCCTGGTCACTGAGGCACAGCTGGGGCTGATTTCAGTGGTGATGATTTGTCAGGGCTGTGGCCACAGTTCTGTGCCTTGTTTAACACCTGGAGGACTTGCAAAAGGTTCTTTTCATTAAGCATTGAGAAATCTTGATAGTGAGACATCAGGCTGTATCTGGATAGTGATATGAAAACACCTTGAAAAGCCAAAATAAATCTGTTTGTCAGAATTACTCTCAGGAGCTTTTGTAAAGAACACTGAAAGCTGTACCACCAGAAAAAACTGATAATGAAAGCTCAGTAAAATTTGTTACACTCAAGAATTTGTTTTGTTACACTCAAAAATTTGTTTTCTAATAATGATTATCAGTGCCTAAGAACTACTTCATCATTTTCTATCTTGCAGTGAGAGCACATACACACAAACTAAGGAAAAACAAAGCAAGTTTTGCCTGACTCCAATTATACCCTGTAAAAGACTAAAAGCACCCAGGAACTTTTCTCCACTGCTGTTACTGACTTGACACAGGCACAATAAAAAATCCGA